CGGCAACGGGATCGCAGCCCTCGGTGTTGCCCCCGCGCCTCGCTCAGCCAGTGAGCGGGAACCGGTCTGTATGTGGGATCCGAACCCTCGGGTGGGAGCGCCGCCGCGCTTCCCAAGCGGTGCACTTATCCAGTGCGCCACCGGGCCGACCAGTCAGCAAACCTTTAAGGCCTGTGGCTTGTGGTCCATACTAAGCATGACTTCACTCCATTTATGGGTACAAGGTATCCAATCCTGTGAGAAAAGACAGTCCTCTGTCTCCAGGCACTAAGCTGAACACTCAGAGAGGACTCACGAGAGCCCAGGGATGAAGAACTGATAGAGATGCAAGAGGAAACAGAGGCACAGTCCTAAACCACCACCACAACCACAAGCTTCTGAGGTTAAACAAGTAAATAAACAGCTGAAGGTAGATAAAGGACAAAGAGCTGGTTTGAAGTAAAAATTGTGTCCAGGTGTAGACCTATTTTTTATTAGTGTTTACAATAACTCCTATGATGAAACCAAGTCCCTGCATTACACCAGTGTTCCGGCCTCTCCCAGGTCCTTGCCACTGAAAAAAGAAAGGATGTGATATCAGTTAGGTCAAACCATATGACACTGCCAATATTCAACCATTTATGGCCTCCAAAAACAGCAATTTCATCTGTTTAAACCTAGAACACATTAGTGTTTAAAGCAGTGCCCTTGCTTATTAGATATTCTCTCTCTTTTATTTTTTACATTATAGAAGTATGATAACACATTTACAGAAAACTTGGAAAATACAAAACAAAATTACATATAATTTCACTATATAATACAATTATTACTTTGTGTGTTCATTCTCAGTATTTTGTAAGCATATTTGAAATATTTATAATTGTTAATATTCAACCTCTTAATTATGCCTTTAAACAATTAACTTTTCTGCCTGTTTCCTCATCTAGAGTAAGAAGATTACCTCTGGATTATCTCTAAGGTTTCTTTTGGTTTTATCATTCTGTGTCTATGGCCAGGTTAATTTGAGTATATTTTGTTTGATCAAAACACTAATTTCTACACATTTGTATTGTCAGTTCTTATGGTTTATTGTTCATGCAGTAACTATTTGCATACAACTTTCAAAGTTCTAGCGAACATTTCCCATGAAAAAATGTTTAATGTGAGCCACCATTTTTGCCTGAGGTCCAATTAAAAATCTTAAAATATTTATTAACAAAAGTTTTCACTCAGAATAAATCATCATATTAATTCCTTTGGCATGAAATGCATGTTTTTAAACACAGATGATCTGTATTACTGAAAGAAGAATGTCACTGAAATGTCAGCATCTCAGCCTATTTGAGAAGAAACAACCAGGATCATATCCTGCTTACTTGTTACTCTTTCAGATTTACAAATAGGTCTATGCGCATTATCCCATGTCAAGCTTTGAAAGAATTCCACAGAATCATTATCACCCTCAATTTACTGAGAGAAATGGAACACTCAGAAGCAAAATCGACTTGTGGCACTTGTAGAGCGCCAGCTGCGTGCTAAGGATACAGGAATGACAGAGAGAGCTGCCTGGGGCCTGTGAGCCCTAGCGAGGCATCACCGGGTGAAAGAATAATGACTATTCCAACCTGAAAAGGAGCACAGAGGGAAGATTTAACAAAGACTTTCGATAGCTTAGATGGTTTTTCTCAAGCTTCTGCAATTTGAGCTCTAATAAAACTAATACAAAGGTTGCAGCTTATTGAAGAAGGCTAGGACCTGGTCCTCCATATTTTTATCAAATTCCCCAGGTGATTCTGATTCATACCAAAATATGTGTGTGTGTGTGTGTGTATCAATCATAGTGATTGTTTGCGTAAGGCAAATACCTAAAGTGAAGGTTAAATTATAGCATGAAGAATTATAGCAGGAGGAAATGTGAGACGAAGTTTACACCCACTGAAGTGTGTGTGTGTGTGTGTGTGTGTGTGTGTGTGTATCATAGTGATTGTTTGCGTAAGGCAAATACCTAAAGTGAAGGTTAAATTATAGCATGAAGAATGTGTGTGTGTGTGTGTGTATCAATCATAGTGATTGTTTGCGTAAGGCAAATACCTAAAGTGAAGGTTAAATTATAGCATGAAGAATTATAGCAGGAGGAAATGTGAGACGAAGTTTACACCCACTGAAGTGGCTTACTCGGGCATGGTATAAAGTGTGGTTCTCAAACTTTACTGCATATCAGAATTGCTTGGAGGACTGGTTAAAACATAGACTGCTGGGCCCCAGCCCCAGAATTTGTAGTTTATAGGTCTGGTGTAGGGCCCTAGAATTTGAATTTGTAACAAGTTCCCAGGTGCTCCTTAATGCTGCTGGCCCAGGGGTAAACTTTGAGACCACTGGTAAAGACAAGCACATTGGTTCTAAACTCTGGTGTCACACTAGAATCCTCTAGGATGAGTTTTTAAAATATTGATGCCAGGGCCTCACCCCGCAGATTTCTGATGTAACAGAACTTCGGTGGAGCTGGGATGTAAGTAGTTTGTAAAGCCCCTGGGTGTTTCTAATGTGCTGTCAGGGTTGAGAACCACTTGGGCTAAGGCTTCTGGAAAAGTCGGGGAGTGTGGGTAGGGGGAGTCACATTTAGTCCTGGGTTATCAGATGTAGTTATATTTGTCTGAGTGTCCTTCCCCAGAGGCAGGTAATTGTAATGCACTAAATGATCTTTCTAATGTCCTTTTCCCCATTCAGAATCAATGACCTGCCTAGGATGCTTTTAAAATGCATTTCCAACCTGCCTCCTTAGAGCAGGAGGCAGCGCGTCAGTCTCAAAATGCATTTCCATCATCCACGTGTAAAACAGCAGCATCTAGACTAGGTTGATTTTTTCTTTCAACAATGCTGCCCTCTAGTGTCCTTATATATGAGAATCATGTAAAAATCCACCTCAGCCACCAGTATGGTCATTTCCTGTTAGAAGGGCTAACAATTAATTAGGGGAATTTTTCTGACATTAAAAAAAATAAACGAATTTCATATACATTAAATTAAACTTTAATTCATGGCAACATGAATCTCCAACTGCGGCCTCTCACTTCTGCAGTTTTCCCCTGCTTTTTGTACTGCAGGCTCCTCCAAGGACAAGAATTCCTGGAGTTCTCCTTTCCCCATTCCACCAAGCCCATCTCTTTAGTGTCAAAAACCAAACAAATCAGTGAGGCAGAAATTACTAGTAATCAAAGGACCTGAGGCATTGGGATATTTTGAAGAGGCTCGCCTTCGTTTTCCTCACTTCTCACACCTGCCTCTTTTCCAGTTGATTCATAGTTTACTGAGAATAGAATTCCTCAAACAGGAGATCCCATGTCTTTCCGTGATGAGTTCTACAAACCTACCTGGTCCCACCACCCTGACATAAGTGTCCAGCCCTCTACCTCACTTTATCAAGTCTCTCTCTCCCCTCCTTCCCAGCCCCATCTCTTTTATCAATAACTCCCTCTTTCTAGATCACTCCAATGGCATAAAAGCTTACTCTTACACCTCTTTAAAATAAAACTCTCCTTTGGCTCTGCATATCCCTTCAGCTACCCAGGTTGTCCCTAAAGCCTCCTAAAAATCACCTTTGCTTTATAGAGAATGAATTATATAGGATTAATTTCTGAATAATAATTTGGGAGTCTTTCTCCAAGAAAGAAAAACATTTTGCTTATAAACCAAATTTTACCTCTCTTGGACAATGGTAAATAAAGACATTCCCATCTTTTAAAAATCACCTTTGCTTTATAGAGAATGAATTACATAGGATTAATTTCTGAATAATAATTTGGGAGTCTTTCTCCAAGAAAGAAAAACGTTTTGCTTATAAACCAAATTTTACCTCTCTTGGACAATGGTAAATAAAGACATTCCCATCTTCCAAACAAAGAAACCAAGGACAATTTAAAATAGCTTACATAGGCCAAACAAGCAAAGAAGCTGAGTCCCTAACTCTGGCTGTCTCATTCCAAATCCTGTCCCCTAACAATTTAGACAGTTCCTTCTTATGAGAAATAAAAATAGGAATACATCTACCTCAACTCTACTTTGAGACAAGGATTTGATTCTTCTGAATGACATTTAACCTACTGGTATTACTGGGACACAGAGAAGCCCAAGGCCTGTGACCCCTTAAAAATGTCAAATGACCTGGGTGTTTGGCCAACCTGCTTTGTACAGAAATCCAACCCTGTGAATTTTCACTAAATTGAACTTGAGGCTCTCCATGCTCTCTAGTTCTGCATCACATCTGGCTGGTGCCAAGAGATTAGCTCAGCTCCACCCCTCCAGGGAAGAAATTCATCTTCCTGTTTAGGAAATGTGATGTCAAGCTGAAAGAGGCTGATGAGCAAACTGGGTGGGACCAGGAGCAGGCGGCCCTGATGAAATCAATTACATGGGTGTCTAAGAACAAAATTTAGTTCAAAGTGGTCAAGGACAGGGTGTGTCACTGTGTGCTGTGAGCCACTGTGGCTTCAGCTGTTTGCTCAGCATTTAAAGTTTATCTTTCTGCTAAACACGTTGTTGTTGAGTCATCTCTATTAAATAGCCACTCTGTGTGCCACCCAGCTAGGCAAATCCAGCATACAAAGACAGGCCTTCTACCCTCAATGACCTTGCATTCTACAAAGTCCAAACAAATGCTTCCCCTTACTTCTCACTTCAGCGAGCAATGTACCCAGGTTCTGAAAGAGGTTAATCATGTATTCATCAGTCCAAGAAACATCAAGCAATAAAGAAATAAAGTGGTCATTATGTTTTTAATATCATTTAGTAATTTGTTGCTGCAAACTGAAAATAAAAATGTCAGTTTATCTAAAAATACCATCAGCCTCCAAACCATCAATATTTCATGTTGAACTATTATGTTGTCACCAGTGTCAAAGGAATTATATTTATCAAACGAGCAATTACATTAAAATTCTAAGCTTTGGGAAAAGGAAAAATATATATATAACTGAAAAGTAGAGAAACTCATGAAATGCTGTCTGTCTGGCCTTCCATAGAAATTGTTCGAGCCATGACACATGTGATAAACCAAGGCATGGCTATGTACTGGGGCACCTCGCGGTGGAGTGCTATGGAGATCATGGTAATTTAATTTCTATTTTAAATGGCTTTTGAATATGTTACTGTTTTTCAGATATCATGCATAAATTGCAAGATCTTTTGCAAGTTTTTCTCAAAATCACTATGGTCCTGGAATTCTACGATCAATCCTGTCATAGAGATGAATACTGGGGCTGGTGCTCATTAGTTCAGAACACAACAGAGAGAGGCTAGGTCTCTGATGGGAATTATGTTCTGGCATGTTCTCTGATAGCAAGAGGGTGAAGTGAATTTCACAGCTAATGAGATATATGAACAGAGTATTCTAGCTTTCTTATAAAAAACTGTATTAATTAATAACTATACTGTTTATGAATGCTATAAGATCACTTTCATATATTAGTCTAAGTTTTATTTCTTTAGGATCCTGAAAATAGTCAAACTACGTTTTCTAATAGTACATAATTCACACATTGACTGATTTGCCCTGGACTTTACTCAGTCCAAACACTTTGAAAGAATAATAGGGATTTCCTACATTTGGTATTGCTCTTAGTAAAACTGGTGGTATAACTTGGTTTATTATTTGGCATCCTGCATGTTTCTTGGCTTGCACTGATTTCACTAAAGTGAACATTTCACATGCATATGAATCACAGTGAAGCCTTATCTCTCATCAGTATAAATGCAGTTGCAATCTCATTTCTCCCTAGGAAGCCTATTCTGTAGCGAGACAATTCAATATGATCCCGCCAGTCTGTGAACAAGCCGAGTACCACCTTTTCCAGAGAGAGAAGGTGGAGGTCCAGCTGCCGGAGCTCTACCATAAAATAGGTAACCTTCAAAATCAAATCTATTGAGTATTTTTAACAATAGGAAAATCAGCAATTCCTAAAAAAAAAGTGTTACTGAAATGCTTTTCAAAATGTCTGTAATTAATATAGGGAATTAAGAATCATGCATTGAGACGGTGGCAGAATCAAACGTGCCTGTGTTTAGTCTACAGGGTATCACTGATGAAAGCCAAGCAGAGTTGTAAATTGTGACTCGCATATAAGCTGTACTCAGCAGGTGTTCAAACAATGCATACAGAATGAAGGGAAGAACAAATGAACGAGCTCATTTTTCATAGAGTGCTTGCTCTAGCCCAAGCATGCACCTTTGAGTGGACTATGACTGCTTTCCCCCCAATCATGGATATACACATCTGTATCTCTTACTCTGGGCCTGGCACTGAGTTAGATATGGGGAGCTCAACAACTAGCAAGCCAGGCACCACATGTTTGTGTAGGTAGAAGTAATGCTTTCAGAGATGGGGAGCAAAATATAGACATAACATATACACGAGAAATTTGGACATCAGAAAAACATAGATAAGCCATATTTTCATGCTTAGTTATCAAAATGGTTTCCAGAAATAACGTTCTTCCTAAGAAATAGAAGTTCATATGAGCAAGAACATGCTGGGCAAGGAAAAAAAATAAAAATTCAACCACAGTAATCATAACTGTTATTATTGCTATCACTTATTGAGTGATACCAGGCATTGTGCTCCTATTATGTACCAGGCACTGTGTTAGGCACTAAATGGACAAATGAAACACTGAATTTTTCTGCAAGCAGAAGTGCTTACCCATGAGTGTAAAAAGAAACGTGAATTTTGGACATCAAAAAATCATGGAAAAGCCATATTTTCAAGCTTGCTAATATGACCCGCTCCTAAGAACTGACAGTGCATGTTTAATTGGTTTATAAAAATATAATTTGTAAATGTCTAAATTGTGATGAAAAGATGTGTGCTGGTATTAACTCATTTATCTGGCCAGCTTTTCCCTGTAACTAACCAAGTTCTGTTTAAACACCAGTTTGCACAAGCAACTCCTAAGTTTTTTTCCTTTCGTAGGGGTTGGCGCAATGACATGGTCTCCACTTGCCTGTGGAATCATCTCAGGAAAATATGGAAACGGGGTGCCTGAAAGTTCCAGGGCTTCGCTGAAGGTATTTTTCTCAATTTCTAGAAAAGAGTCTGGAGTGGGAGGAGGAAAAAAAATTGATTAAAATAGCTCTGCAACGGCCTAGGGCTTCCCAGCACAGGCAGACTGCGGCCTTGGCCAGGGCTGGTGGCCTTGGCTAGGCCAGTGGCCTCTGGCAGGCTCCCCTGAGCCTCCTGGAGGTCTCTGCTTCTGGCCAGGCATCAGTCAGCCCTTCATAATATGCCTGTACAGAAAATTCTCCTCCTCTGGGGACTGGGGGGAAAGTACCCAATGACCTGGTTGGACTTGTAGAGCTAAAGTCCCTACACTGTTATTTATGCTTACATGAAAGAAGGCATTCCATTGCTGGTTTGAAACTGACAAAACGTAAAATCCTTTTTCTACGTAACAGGATCTAATTTTACTTCTCTTGACAAAACAAAATTTAAGCCATAGAGGCTTAATCGAAATGAGGCAAACAGTTATAGCTGAGTGTGGTTTGAGGTTGGTTGACATTTTTATCATGTTGGGGGTGGAGGAAAGGAGGGAGGGCCTCAGGAGACAGATTCACAGCAAAGCCTCTCTCACTGGGGCTCTATGACTGGCATTTGTAGAAATCAACTGTGGCCACTAAATCTTGTAGCTTAAATTCTGCTCTGAAGCATAAAGATATTCAAGATCATTGACACAAAATTACCTCCATGAAAGAGATTTTGATGACTAATTTATTGGAGAGTACTCCAAACATTTCTCCTTACAAATAACATGTCTGTTTTTAAAAACTTGAATGTGTAATAACATCAGAATCACAAATTACTCTGTAATGAATGTGAAGGGAGAGAGAATACAGACATTTAAAAATTCAGACAAGCCGAAGTCCTACTAAAAGGAAGCATAAGTCTGACACAGCCTCTTGCCTCCATCAGCACTAAGTTATTGGCAGAACAGCTCAAGTCAAGCCCAAACTACCAACTCTTTAGTCAGCGTGGCTGTAACCACTCTGGGCTTCCCTAATCAGAACCTTAAGGCTCTAGGTGTTTCACTCTCTCTTCTGCCTGTAACAGTTCAGCATCTAGCTTGTTTGTTCTCTAAAATAATAGATTAAATATCTCCTCAGGCATGTTGACATGGTCCTGTTTCTAGCTTTGTATTAACACAAAAAACAGTTATCCCTATCCCAGAATATTAAACAAGGTCTTGCTCCTAAAAATTGAAGATTGTTCTGAACCAAGTCTAAACAAGTCAACAAAGAAAAACTAAAAGCATCTTAGGGAAGACGGTATAAAAGAAAGCAGGCAATAAGGAAGAGATGGAGGGAGGGAAGCATTAAGAATCACAATTTTACTGAGCACCTTCTGTGTGCCAAGCACCAAGCTAAGTGTTTTCATTCTTCTCCTTTTAGCCTCACAAAGAGAAATAGATACAGGTGACTTTTAGTCTATTGTAGCTAAGCATATTGCTGTATGTTTCTTCAGAGGCTGTCTGAAAAATTCAAAATACTTCTACAGATGCTGCTTATTTGTTCTCACACCAGCCTTATGAGAGGGCAGACTTTTTCCAGATGCAGAAACTGAAGGACAAAGACATTAAATAACAATCCAAGGCCATAAACTCATAACAGATAAAGTTGATATTAGAACCCAGGTCTCCTGGCTCTGTTAATTATCTCCCCCAGAGACATCTTTGTTTCCCTTTAAATCCAGGTTTTTAAAGGAGGAAGAAATAGCTATGCTGTATTTGGAGTGTATGATTGTCTAATCTCCGTCACTGTTTGGGTAAAGCTTGCAAACAGCTGAAAGAGTTTCCACAAATTCAGTAGCAAAAGGACTTTCAAAATATTTGAAGGGGGCTAAGACCAAAAACAGCTTGGGAAGTATTTCTCTTGCTGACTTTTATAAAGTCAAGTCAGTATCTCTTGGAATATCCCTAACAGTAAACATTAAGAGCTCTCAACAGATGAAAGGCACCTGATCACAAAGCATGCTTCCTTAGAGCTCCGCAGACTCTCAAGGCTCTAAATGATCAACCTGAGTATTTTTGGAGTAATACATATGTACTTAGGAAAGCTGCTTGGGTACAGTTACTAAAAGCAAAAAGATAAAAATAATAAAAGCAAATAGCGCAACCTTAGGAGTGAATGGAGATGCTAACAACAACAACAACAATAACAATGATAATAATAATTCAAAGATAGATCGTTGGGCAAATAGATAAACTGGCAACGTTCACTTTCTGCTAAAACAGAATATGTAAAAGGTTTGTTTCACATCAATTATTGTTATGCCAATAAAATTAAGATGCTAATATTTTGTGTCTGTTGTAAGTATTGAACTGCAATTGAAGGACAAATTAACACAGTATTAAAAATACCTATCCGGGGTTCTTTTAGAAAGTAATACTCCCCAGGGGATTTTCTGGGCAGCCTCCTCTGACCCCACTACTCTGCCAATGACTCTGAATCTGTGTCATCAGCTCTGACTTCACTGCTGAGATGCACACCACCATTACTTCTTTATGTCTATTAGACATCTCCAAGTGGATGTCCCACGGGTATCAATCGGACCTAGTGGAATCTATCCTCACCTCTGGAGCCTGCCCTTCCTTCTTGGTTAACGGTGCTTCTACCCGTCCATCTGGTCATCCTAGTCAGAAGCCAAGACATTATCTCAGACTGTGTCCTTTCCTTCCTCATTCCTGTCCAACAAGGCACCAAATCCTCGGACCACATCCTGACTCTCAGGTCCACCCCCTGCATAGCTCTTGTTTAGATCGTCATCGTTTCTCACCAGGTTTACTACAACAGCCTCCCATCTTAACTCTGATTTCTTCCCCTTTTCTCAACAATCCACCATTGTGACCAATTATCTTCCTAAAAGATTAAACTCACCTGCTTAAAATCCTTTAATGACTTCTCAATCATTACTTATAGGACAAAGCCCAAACTCCACAACAAAGCATTGTAGAAAATCCCTTTGGGATCTAAGCTGAGTCTACTTTTCCATTCCTGTCCCTTCCCATATCATGCTACTTTATTTTCTACCCAAATGCACTGTACTCTCCTTTGCTCCCCAGAGATGTCCTATTTTCAGCCTCTTGTGGAACCCCTCATCATCCCTAAGGACAAAGCTTGGTTGTCTTCACCTCTGCTAAGACTGTCCTAACTTTACAAAACTGAGTTCTTTGCACCTTCTCTAGTATTCCATAAACTCTTCTTACAGAGTCTTAGAATTCTCTGGTTGCAAGTGACAGAGCACAATGCAAACTAGTTTAATCAAAGAAGGGGAACTCCGTCAGTTCACATAGACAATCCCTGGGAAGGATGGAGTGGGGCTGGCCTCAGTAGTGACTCCATCCATGGACTTGAACATTGTCAGGACTCTGTATCTCCTGTGTTTCTCTCTGCGTGTGGAATCATTTTCTTAAACTACAAATGGGTTGCAGGTTTACATCCTTAAAGGCATATAACCTGAGAGAAAAGAGATCTTTTCTTTACCAGCTTCAGTCCAGAGAAGACTGGCTAAGCTTGGGTCATATGCCAACCTATGAAACCAATGACAGTGGCCAAAAGGGTAAGGACCTATGATCAGCACAGGTCATGTGGGGTGTTTTCCATTAGAAGGCAGTGCAACATAGCTTGTGAGAAAATTATTGAAGTGGGGGCAACTCAGCTACAAAATACTTCTCAAGTTACTAGGTAATGATCTGTGAACATCTGTAGGACAGAAACAGAAACTTACTCATCTAACTCATCACAGCACACATTTAATGGGCACATTAAACATTTGTTGAATGAGTTCAATGAGCCATAATAGAAGATCAATAAAGTCTGATCAAGAGACCAGATGTGTAGCTTTTAAATTGGAATTTTAAATAAAAATGAATAGTGCAATAAAATTTATTAGCAGCTCTTCCCTGTTAGCAAAATGCTTTCTAGAAAAATTATAGAAGTATGTACCCCTCTGTCAAAGGAACACAGGAAACACGCAGAGCTAGGTGAAGTTCAGGGAGCGCAGCAGTCCAAGTGCTCCAGGTGTTCACATGAAGAACATTATATTGAAATTTCAGAAGGAAATTTTTTAGCTCCAGCATTTTACCTAGAGATTCCAACCTCAATAGTGAAGATTTTGTTGTTGTTTTGAGTCAAAGATTTTGATGTATAAATAGAAATAGTCAATGATCTTGGATGCTAAATTACTCTGTACAAGGTCCAGACATAAATGCAAATGATTCTGTCCGTGGCTCTCTAGTTTCTGCCTGAGTTCCAATCCAGGATTAACTCACAGCCAATTAGGGGCTTTGGGACAAGTCTCACAGACTATTCTTACCCCAGCATCATTACCTATAAAATGAGGAAACAGATAATGGTCACAGCATTGAGAGAGGGAAAAGAAACGGACTTTAGGAAAACTTAGGAGAATTTTGTGACATATATAAAAGTAATAGCCCACTAATCTGTAGCGAAAAGCTCAGTCAATTGTTCCTTTGACAAATATTTACTGAGTGCACCTGGACTTTGTGCTGGCTGCTGAGGATACAGGGATAGATGGGAGTCTTAACCCTCCAGGAATAGCTCAGGAACTGGCAAGTGAGACAGGCATATGAAGGGGTGAATTATGAAACAACGTGGAATCCACAAGCACTGTGGAGTCCCACAGGACTGCTGGCAGTGTCGCAGTGCACCGAGGAGGGGGTGTCCGTGCTCAATCTGGAAGACCAAAGAGATTTATTTGTACCCTGCAGAGCTCGTTCCTCTGCCTCCTCCCTCAACACCATATTGGCTGAGCCCTTCATCTGTGCCAACCACAGTGTCAGGACTAGAGGTGCTGACATGAACAGCAGGCCACCCCTGCCTTCTAGTTGCTCAATTTAGAAAGACAGATCAACATCTAATCAAATTACTGTAGTGCAGCGGGGTTAGCGATAGAATAGGGTTGGAAGAGAAGATTTCATCTTTTAATTCACGGATTACTGCCCACAGCCAGCAAGCTGGGTTTATTATTGAGCACAACCACACCCTCCACCAAACTTCTTACAAAAAAACACAGGTTTACTCCCATATTTAATATTTTAACTAAGCCTCATCTACTCCCTCTGTTAACATTTTCCCATTTGTAAAGCAGTGAAAGTTGTTTATTTCCAAAACACCTTTCCTTTTGTATGAGGGAAGCTCTATAAAAACTGTATGTCTACTTTTTAAAAACCCTAACCTGCTTATATTTTTCACTGATTAAAGCAACAATGATATATGGTGTTGAGCATGGGGAGAAAGGGACTCAATAAATGAATGTTTGATATTTAGAAGTCTGTTTCTCAATATGGTGTGTGTGTGAGAGAAACATACACACACACACACACACACACAACCTGTAACCCAATTCTAAGAAAAAGAATGCATTGCATATGATGATTCCAAAAATGGAGAAGTTCCATAAGACTGAAAAATAAATCAACCATTCCCTATGTGTGCAGTATGTAATGAAATTTCAGCAACTGTTCAAAAAGCAGTCGGCTATTAGTTTTCAATCTTTTTTTCTTTGTTTGAATAACATTCAGTGCCTGAAAGATGTTGTGAGACTTCAGTAAGGATCCCACTGAGGATTGCAAAAGTAAGTGCAGGGCTCTCTGACATAGCCAGTGCCCTGGTCCAGGAAGGCTGCTTGAGCCTTGATCACAGTGTTCACTGTTCATAACTGTCCACCTCATTACCACTGGCACCAGCTGTCATATCTGGAGAGATGGTCCAGGCCACCCTTCCTCTGGAAGAAGCTGAGGCTTCCTGGAGCTGAGACCGGGAAAACTCTTGGCCATTTCCTCAAGCAAACTCCCAAGTGAGGAGCCAGACCATAAGACTTTGAGATCTTTGAGGCAAACAGAACTAGGGCAACTTGCCCTTCTCTTTTTCACATGTCCAGAATCATTCCAAAAGTCACAACAGAACATAATGTGGTTACCCCTTTCTTTGGAAATACTGTCTTAAAACGATGAAAACAATATCTAAAAAAAACAGAAGCCAGCAGCCTATTGAAATAGTATGGGTGGAGAGTCTATTGCCAGTTGCCAATTGCAGAGCTTTCTGCTGCCTTTGGGAAGGTCTACGGTGGCTATTATGTCACAATGCACACAAAAAAGTCCACATTGCCACACAGTGTTATGGTTTTTATTATTTTCATTTAAATAGACTGACATTCTTGCAAATATTCTTTTCCTTTGGGTGTTGCTGCTTAGCACTAGCTTTGTACGTACAAGCTATTGTTCCCTACTTCATAGTAGGAACAGAGCCTTCTGGAAAGTAGGACATTGAGAAGTTCTCAAAGATTTTTTTCTCTGTATTAGGAAATTAGGCTCACATTATAGTCTACAGATCAGGATCAGTCTCTTCTCATAGGTTTTAAGGAAGTTTTCTGTTTTGAGTTTCCTTACTTTTTAAAGTTTCAATAGTTATACCATAGGAAATACACATTTAGGAAAAGTCTTTATCCAAATCAAAATTTTAAAACTGTACTTGCTTCCCATCAGTTATACCATGTCTGCTTCAGCTAATAATAAAGCCCCATTATAAGAAGAATAAGAGATTAGGAGTGAATTGAAGGCAAGAGGAAGAAAGACAGTTATAACAAGAATGTAAAATAATAGTTTGCTTTGAGCAGAAAGCTTGATGCCCAGCTTTCTTAATAAAAGAGAAACATAATAGACCTTGGTAAAATGTAAGTGCACTTTTTTTCCCTGCTACATTCTAAAATTGGGTTATTCCAATTAGAAACATCATTTCTTCCACTTGGCCGACTAGGATATAATTGCTTATACATCAAAGTCAGAGTTTTAATAACTTTTGTGCATGTCAATCAATTTGAATGGTGAATAACAGTCAAAATCAATCTGTTCTCAACCAATAAACAAGGAGCAAGACCATGGGAAACATTTCTGTGCCTGAAGACATAAGTATCCTTGTCCCTGTGAATCATAAGGGTAAGAGTCAAGAAGATTCAGGAATTCACCACGAAGTTCTTATATTTTATTCAATTAACAGTCTTTGACAGCAAGCCTTTACCAGACATTAACATTTAAATGTTATTCTTATCCCTAGTGCTACCAGTGGTTGAAGGAAAGAATCGTAAGTGAAGAAGGGAGAAAACAGCAAAACAAGCTAAAAGATCTTTCCCCAATTGCTGAGCGTCTGGGATGCACACTACCTCAGCTAGCCGTTGGTAAGAAAACTGCTAAGGGAGGGGGGCTCTGCTGAGATTACAGAAAATATAGTTTTATATTGTTGATCCGTACCCCATCATGATATAATTTCCATTGTAGGGGCTGACTGGTCTCTGAAGCATAAACTCCTGTTTAATACTCTATAAAGTGAATTATTCAGGGTTCCCCAGAATTTTCTACATGCTAAAACACTTTTCTTTCTTCTTTCTCCTCTCTCTTTGTATTGGTCAGTTTTCTGTTGCTTATAACAGAATATGTGAAACTGTGTAATACATAAAGAAAACAGGTTTATTTCTTACAGTTTGGGAGGCTGGGAAGTCCAAGGTCAAGGGGCCACATCTGGCGAGGGCCTGCTTCTCTGTGGGGACTCTTGGCAGAGTCCTGAGGTGTTGCAGGGTATCACATGGCAAGAGGCTAGGCAAGAGCTTATTAACATGGTCACTTGCTCTTTTTATAAAGCCACCAGTGCCCCTCCCATGATAACCTACTCATCCATTAACCCATTAATCCATTAATCCACTCATGAAAGCGTAGCCCTCACGGTCCAATTACCTCCCAAAGGCCCCACCTCTACACACCGCCACATTGAGGATCAAGCTTTCACATGAGCTTTGGAGGGAACAAACATTCAGACCATAGCACTCTTATAATACAGTTTAAACGAGCAAATGTCAGTGAAAATGCACACATCCTCACAAGTGTCAGGGGTGAACTGTGTAGTGACATCCATTTCTACTAGTTCAAGTTTCCATCCCTATTGAAAATAAGTCAGGGTCGGTGAGAGTCTGAGAAAACAGGGCTGCAACAGAAGTCCAAGGCTACTGCCACATGGAAAGCCGATCCTAGAAGAATAGCTTCACCCTGAAACTTCTTGAGGACCATGAAAACTGCTCCTCTAATGCTGTGGAGTCCATGAAAGGTCATGGTCACTGGTAACAATTGAAAACCACATGCACCAGCACTGTCCAACAAAAAGATAATATAAACCACATATTTACTTTTAAATTTTCCAGTGACCACATTAAAAAAGCAAAAAGGAAACAGGTGAAATTGATTTTAATGGATTTTACTTAACCCAATATAACCAAAATATTATCATTTCAACATGTAATAAATATAAAAAATCGAGATATTTTACACTCCTTTTTTTCATACTAAGTGTTCAAAATCCAGGATGTATTTTACACCTACAGCATATCTCAACTCAGGCTAGACACATCTCACGTGTTCAACAGCCACATTGGACACAAAAGTGTTTAGAGGGCCGGCCCGGTGGCGCACTGCTGCAGTGCACCGCTTGGGAGCGTGGCGGCGCTCCCGCCAAGGGTTCGGATCCCACGTACAGACCGGTTCCTGCTCACTGGCTGAGCGAGGTGCGGGAGCAACACTGAGGGTTGCAATCCCGTTGCCGGTCCCAGTACGGGCGCGACACTGAGGGTTGCGATCCGTTGCCGGACACGAAAAAAGACAAAAAAAAAAAAAAAAAGTGTTTAGACTTTCAGTTTCTTTGCTGGGAATATTTGCCAAACTCTGTGATAAGCACTTCATGCTCACTGTCTTGTCTCCTTAATCATCAAAACAATCCTGTGAGGTGTATACTATTACTAGCCCTACCTTACAGATATCACTGATGGATTTGCTATTATTATGTCCACTTTACAAATGAAGAAACCAAAGAATTCATGTGGTAGTAGTGAGAAAGGAATAAGATGAATGTCGATTCTGGAAAAAATTCCTGAGGATTAAGAAACAGAAATTGTGACAAATCAGATACAGTGACCCAATGAGATAAAATGTTCAGGATAAAGTCTATGCAATAAAATAATTTAATAGACTGTTGGTAGCTTGGCCCTTCTGAGGTTGGCAGTCAGGGAAATGTTAGTTCCAGTTCACAGTCATAGAGAGATGGAAACGGGGTAGTTCTGGTGGGGAGTGGGGGCAGAATGCTGTATACCCAAGTCTATGTATGACTATTATGCCATTTTAATCCTTTCTTTAAGAAAAAATCAAAAAATATATTTAATATGATTAGTTAGCATTTGTACAGCTTTAACAAGCACAGCAAAAAATATTAGCTATTTGACCATAGGCAAATTACTTAACCTGACATAAATCTTCTCATCTGTAAAATGGGTACAAAGCTTACAAACTTGCTGAGTAAAGGTAGATTATATACGTAAAGCAAAGAGTAGGTGCTCTGTAAGTGGTGGTGGTGGTGGTGATGATGAACGATGATATTTTTGCAAAGAATCAGACACTCCAGACCTGAAATCCTGTATGCTCCTAGCCATGACATGCAGTCAAAACAACATGCACAAAGAGAAACACATATTCTGCATAGTCATAAATATGATGTTTAGGTAGTAAGGTAAAAGGGTGTATTAAATTTAGCTCTGGAAGAGATGAAGAACATTGTTTTTCTAGAAAGGAAATCTTTATGAGATTTAGACTTTCAGTGGATGTTAGATATACATGAAATACCTTCCTTACAGTCTGTTTAAATTAAAGCATGCTTTTTCTTTCTCCTTCTCCTCCCTCTATGACCCCAGATGTCTTTCTTGCCATTTTTTTTTTCTTCTTTCTTTATAAACAAGTAGTTTTGTTTTTAACCACAGAACTCTCAGAATCAAAAGGGAAATGATTTGCAGGCATATGACCTTTGATCTGCTCGGAGGATGTGGGGGAGGGAGATCCCTGACAGGAAACAAACTCCCTGAACCCAGCCGTGTGCTGGCTCCCCAAGTCACACACCCACACATGAGCCAACATTCACACCTCTATAGTCAACAGGCACTCTGGACGTGCCTGCTGGTGACAATTAGGTAGAGATGCTGATTATCCAGAGTCAGCTGCAGGTGTTACCCGTGGAGTTGGCCAGCTCCGCCCAGTGGGTTTTCCTGTACCCTACAGCCAGTCAGAGAATCTGCTGCTGTTGACATCAGGTAGTTTATGGGTAATAATTTGCCCAGAACCCTGCTTTGTCTTCATAACTCCCACTACAGCCAAAAAAGGGTTCTAAGTGCAAAACAGGAAGTAATGCAGACAAAAAAAGAGTGTGCAAGCGCACACACCCTGGATCACTTGAATTGGAGCCTTTATAGAGCACTTTTCTGCCCATATGGAAGTTTAGCTAGTGGTTGCCATAAAAGGCCCAGGCATAGTAACAGCTTAAGAGTATCAGTAGACAGCATGGTCTTGAGCAAATGGGGCAGAAGAGGTGCTCACAGACATCTGTGCCTGTTTAGTCAACAAACATTTAATAAGTGCCTACTATGTGCCAGGTATTGGGCTGGCTGCTGAGCATCCAACTGCAAATAAAAGCCTGGTGGGCAAGTCAAGAAAAAAAAACAGATCATTTTAATCAGTGTTGTAGTATTGACAAGGACACAGGGGGCTAGGAAATTAAAGAGTAGGGCACCCAACCCAGCCTAGGATTCAGGGAAGGACTTTAGGAGATGACAGGACTCCCTGGGGAATCTTAAATGATGAGTAGATATCAGTGAGGCAAAGGAAGGGAGGAGGCAAAAAGGCATTCCTGGGCCGGCCCAGTGGCACACTGCTACAGTGCGCCACTTGGGAAGCGCGGCGGCACTCCCGCCGAGGGTTCGGATCCCACATACAGACCGGTTCCCGCTCACTGGCTGAGCGAGGTGTGGGAGCAACGCCGAGGGTTGCGATCCCGTTGCCGGTCCCGGTCCGGTCCGGGTGCGACACTGAGGGTTGCGATCCGTTGCCGGACACGAAAAAAGACAAAAAAAAAAAAGGCATTCCTGGCAAAGGGGACAGCTTGAGCAAAGGGCTCTAGAAGGAGGGACAAAAGGAAGAGGAGAAAAACAGCATGATGTTTAAGGATGGAGTGATTTACAAACAGTTCAGTGCTCCTGAAGCACAAAGTTCAAGATAGAGAGATAAGAAGCCGCAGAGATGGGCAAGAAAGTAAGGCTTGCTGGGGTAAGAAACGAGAATTTCATCTTACAGGACGAGAATTTCATCTTACAGGACAATGATGATGTCGGGCACACACTGAGGAACTTTTGGCAAGGGAAGTGGTCTGTACTTAGAGATCTGTGTTTAGAGATGCTGCTGGATGTGTGAAAACTGTATGGGGGAAGTGCAGAGGATGATCCAAGAGGTAGGAAAGCCAGCTATGCAGGAGAGAGATGGTGAGGGCCTGAATGAAGGCAGTGGTGACGGGGATCAAGAGGGATGGACCTGAGCAGTGGTCCCCATATCCACACAATGGAATACTATTCAGCAATAAAAAGAAATGATGCACTGACACACGGGGAAACTAGAGAACATATATATATATGCTAAGTGAAAGAAGCCAGATACGAAAGATCACATATTGCATGATTCCAGTTAGATGAAATGCCCAGAAAAGACAAATCCAGTGGTTAAAATTAGATTGGTGGTTGCCTGGGAATGGAGGTAGGGATAGGGATTTTATTGGGGTGATGGAAATGTTCTAAAAAACTGGATTAAAAATGACAAAGGCTGTACACTAAAAATGGTGATGGCTGGTAAATTTACTAAAAATGACTTAATGTACACTTAAAATGAGTAAATTTTACCTCAATAGTTATTTTAAAACAAAAACATGGTCTCAGATCATCAGCATAAGCATCACTTAGAAGCTTGTTAGAATCAGAAACTCTGGGGACAAGACACAGCAATCAATGTCTCACAAGCCCTCCAGATGATTCTGATGCATGCTAAAGTCTGAGGACCACTGAATTAGAGAAATATTTTGGAGGGATAATCAACTAGACTTGGCAATTAAAAGGACAAGAGGAATCAGAAAAGGACAGACCCTATGGATTACTCCCAAGTTTCCAGATTGTGAGTGCCAAGTTGCTGGTGATGCTATCCAATGAGACTGGGAACACAGCAGGACCAGGCTTAGTAGCAAGAAGTTTACAGTGCCCGAGGGACACCCAGCAGGGAGACCAGCAGACACAGTACCTACCAGTGTGTAGCAACATCTCGTTCCAGGCAGCTAAGGACTGAGAAGTCCACTGTAACAAGAAGGTTCCTGGGGACCCTGGCTTCAGGGACACGGTAGGAAGGAACTGGGATGTGGAGAAGGTGAGTAAGGGACTCTAAACTGACCTTTTAAAAGTTTAAGAAGGAAAGAAGATTGGGGCAGTATTTTGGCAGGTATGAAGAGTCAGAGGAAGTTTATTTTAGGATGGGAGAAATTTGAGCATGTTCTGTTGACAGAAAAAAAGGCAGTAAGAAAAAATAATCCAGGAGAGAAAGAGAGAGAGAAAAGAATGTATAAATCAAGTCTGAGAAAAGGTGAAAAAGTGATGGATCCAAGGCAGTTTGGCCTTGAACTAAAACAGTGCACATGCTCCTCTGAAACTGGAGGATGCGATGTGGACTCCTGTGTAGGTAGGAGAGCAGAGAATTAAGGAACATTCTACTGGATGAACTTAATTTTCTACATTTTAGGAGGAAAGGTCACCTGCTGAGAGTGACAGGGCAGGGGTTGAATAGAGGGCTTAAGGGTAGAGGCTGTCAGGTCATTTCAGGAAAAGGAGAAGGAAGATGACAAGGGCTAGAGGTTGCCAGGCTGGCTGAGGTCCAGCCAGGGGTAGAGACATGAACGCATGGAGGCACCAGACCATTGTTTGGTTCTCCTCAGCACGCTCAGATGCCCTGGAGAAGGAGGAGAAAACACAGACACAGTATTGATGGGGACTTGCTAGAGAAGCAGAGGGAGGAAGAGGAGAGAGAGTCTAAGGGTTGTGAGGGAGTAATTTAATAATCAACTCATGATGAATCTCGAGTTAGGAAGAAAGGGAGGTCCCGGGAGGTGGACAGGTAGGTGAAAACAAAGGAACCAGACACCAGAATCTATGAGGAGTCCACACAACAGGAGAAAAGTGAGATAACGAATAAGATGAAAAACACAGACTATGGGCTAAGGTGGAAAGAGGAATCCAGATATCTGCTGGTGAGCAGTGTGAGGTGTTTTCAGGAACAAGGACGTGTTCCTAGGGTGAGGAGCTAGACTGAATGCGCCAGTTGTTGGGGCAAAGCCTCATGTAGAAGGCCTAAGCCCACAATTCAAATGCACAGATCCTGTCAAATCTTCTACACAACAGGGGATGCTGCACAGGTTTTTAATCCTAGAAAGCACTGTGCATCCTCCACAAAAAAAAAAAAAATGTTAACAAATTTTGGTTGCAACAAACATAGCTGTGGCTGGTGTTTATAAGCTAATCAGTATTTCAGAAGTGCTTTGACACCTGACCCCAGTGTTCTCTCTTTCCAGCCTGGTGCCTGAGAAATGAGGGTGTGAGTTCCGTGCTGCTAGGATCATCCACTCCTGAACAACTCATTGAAAACCTCGGTGCCATTCAGGCAAGTACTGTAGCCCTTTCTAGCAAATTTCAGGAAATTTCATAGTCCTTTTGAAGATGTCTCCAAGCAGTGTCCCATCTCTTCCCACCTGTCCTTCAGGGTGGGGATGAGGGGGACATAAGAAGCAACAGAACTTTCACCATACATGGATCCAGGGATGTCCTCTGCTTATTAATAGGCAATATTCCCAAAGCTCATTTCCCAGGATGGTTTGCTTCTGTAAGACAATGCATTCCAATGTTATACCTGGCAACTGACTTCCCAAGCCTGACCATAAAAGCCTGCTTAATAACCTGCTCGAAATTTAAGTCATAGGATGATATACATGCATCATTTACCCATTTGTCCTTCCCACAAATTTTTAATATTTATTACCAACCTATTGTATGCCAAGCCCCCCTTTCTCTTCCCATAGAATACTGTATCCCCCTCCCATCATAACACTTATGATAAGGTAGTATAATTGTCTGTCTCCCCTGCTGTACTGTAAGCCCCGAGGTCAAAGACCTGTGTCTTTCTAGCTTCTCCACTGATTTCCAGTTCCTATCCTATCACACTATATGGCCTTAGTTAATATTCAAGAAATATCTGTTGAGTGAATGAAAATTTGCTGAGTTTTAAGAGAAATGGACTCAAAATTCTATTCTGAATTTGCAGGATCACACCTGTGTAGAAGCAAATTCAGGAAGCCCAACCCCACTCCCTCCCCCACATGGACGGTCTGCAGTCCAGGGCATTGGATAGAGCCTGCAGCACTACTCTGGGGAGCCTGTAGGGACAGGAGGAAGGGAAGGTGGGAGACAAGGGACGTTCCTGGGAGTGCTACCTAAGGAGAGGTGTGGGGTTTTATGTGTTCAGACCAACTCCCTTTCCCAGAGGCTACATCTCAGTCTTGAGCCTGCCCACTCTCGGCCCTGCTGAAGGCCCTAAGAATGATCTGCCTGCTACTCTCACCATAGCCACTACCTGCCCAAACAGGCAAGGGTGTCTGTTTCCCTCTTGCTCACCGGGGAACAGAACCGTCTCAAAGCTTTTCCCCTGTCCACCTGCCCCTGAAACAAGCAGGAAGGCCTGTTACCTATCCCAAAAGGAAACAGAAGGAAGTGGGGACAAATTTGATTAAACGTAGAATATTTAAAAACCTTTTTAAAAATAGCCCAGAACATGCTGGGGGATAAACGGCGCAGACCTCCTCTCCACCACCTTCGTTAGCACGGTGCGGCTGTCATCACCTCCGCCTCCCTGCTTCCAAGAACTCCCCCAGCCCACAATTCCTCCTAGCTTCTGTCGGTCCCCCGTCCCTGCATGCGGAATGCTCCCTCTCACAAATGCCACCCTACTTTCTCTGATTTTCACTTATGCTCTGGGAAAAGATAAGGCAACACAGTGATGATGAGAAGATAGGGGAACAGTCTGTACACAAAAGAACTCAATTCAATCCAATGATTTCAATTCCCTTAGTGTTTATGGAGCACTTACTCTATGTCTAGCACCATGCTAGGCAGTGGGAACACTGAGATGAATGAACAGTACCTTACCTTCAAAGAGCTCAAAGGCTGGCTGAGAAAAAGTGAATCTACTCCATTCATTCAGCAGATCCTTGAGACCCTACTAGGTACCAGGTACTGGGGACACCACAGGAAACAAGATATCATCCAACTTTCAAGGGGCTTACATTCCAGTAGGAGAAACAGATAATAAACATACAAAATAATTTGAGATTGTGAAAAGGGCTATTAATAAATAGGATGTCATAATAGAGATTAACAGAGAAAGGGGTGGGCCTACTTTAAACAATGTCTTTGCCAAAGTCCCTTCTGGGATGTTTATTCCGAGGCCTTCACATGCCTTCCTTCCTTACATGCCTTCACGTTTATTCACATGCCTTCACGCAGCATGTGAGGAGCCCAGGGAAGCACGAACCAGGCACAGGGAGGAGCAGTGCAAAGGCCCAAGATGGGAAGAAACTTGGCTTTTTCCAGGAACTATGGGCCTCAAGCCAGTGTAGCCAGCATGTAGTGAGCAAAGGGGCCAACGGATGCAATAAAGTGGAGAGGCAGGAAACCAGGCACAGGGAGGAGCAGTGCAAAGTCCCAAGATGGGAAGAAACTTGGCTTTTTCCAGGAACTATGGGCCTCAAACCAGTGTAGCCAGCATGTAGTGAGCAAAGGGGCCAACGGATGCAATAAAGTGGAGAGGCAGGCAGGTGCAGGATCTCGCAGGACACTGCAGAGAGCAATTTCTTCTGCACGTAACAAATCCTTTGGAGGGCACTGCAAGGAGTGACATGCTCCTATCTGAATGTTGAAAGATCACTCTGGCTACCGTGTGGAAAGTAGAATGAAGGGCAAGGGCAGTCATCCAGATGAAAGGTGATGGTGGCCTGGATGAGGGTGATGGCCATGGAGGTGGAGGAAGTGGATGGATTCTGCAGGTTTTGGAAAGAGAGACGACATGGCTTGGCAGGAAGAGAGAGGGATTGAGAATTCCTATCATGCTAATACAGGGTGATCACTGCCATCCCAGGGGAAGGTCGCACTGCCTGGGGATGGCATAAAGAGGTAACTCTTAGGCTAAGCTTTAAATCTGTGGGACTACACCAGGTAAATGAGGGGGATGGGGATACTGAGGAATTTCAGAGGAAAACTGAGTCAGTTTTCTTGCCAAAGCATTTCCTCCCTTGCAAGGCTCTGGCTGGTAGCAGAACTGGGCTCCCATGCCCAAAGGGTAAGAAAACAGGGCGGTTATCCAAGCAGGGAGGCTGCTACCATGCAGGCTTACCCACCCTCCCCATTTCTGCTCTACCCACATGCCCAGAACTGAAGAGCCCACCTTAGACAAGTTGTGATTGGGACCCTCAATGTGGCAAAAAATTGACTGGGTGGCTGGGGGTGCCCAGCAGTGGTGGGATTGGCTGCAAAAGGATGGAAAGTGTGGAGTGCCAGCAGTTTTAAGGAAAGGAAATTTCTATTAGGCTGGAAAGGCAGCTGCTCCAAGGGATGAAATGTGCCTAAGGCATGCAAAAGCTGGAGGAGTGTATATAATCAGAACCTTGACAAGTGGGAGACACTGGAGAGAAGAAACCACAGCTGCAAGCAGCCCACCATCACCTGCACGGGTCCCCAATATCCCTACCTCCACCTCAAAAGTGGACAGACTAACCTATCCCCATCAGCCTTGAGACCCTTCTGAGGCTTCCCCTCAGAAGGAGAGGAGTCCAGTCACCTCAGCAAACAGGCCCTTCATCTCCATGCCTCATCACCCCCAACACACCTCCCCACAACCCTTATCTATAGTCACCATGAACCACTCAGATCCCCAGATGTAACAGCGGTCCTCTGCTTGCAAAGTGACCATCACCCCAGCCTGGCAAAATCTTACTCCATCTCCAAGGTTCAGATCAACAGAGACCCAATCCTGGGAGGATTTCCCTAATACCTTGCCAATGCTGGCAATGCTAGCCAGACCTCCCCTCACCCCACCCATTATCCCAGGCAGTTTAAACACCAAGGTTGCAAAACCGGTAGCCTGAGAGGTGTTTGTTAAATCCGTAGTTTTACAATGTTTAAAAATACTTGCCAACATTAACAAACTGGGTGATTTCATATAAAATTCTGGATTCTGAAAATTTTCATCTTGCAACACTATATACAGGTTGAGTATCCCTTATCCACAATTTGGGGACTAGAAGTGTTTTGGATTTTGGAATATTTGCAGAATATATATGATTAAGCATCCCTAATCCAAAAATCCGAAATGAACATTTTAGTGCTCAAAAAGTTTTGGATTTGGGAGCATTTCAGATTTCAAATTTGGGGGTTACGGATTCTCAACCTGTACCTATTTTTTCATGTTTTATTCAAGTACTTTTATAGTTTCTTTTTTTATTGTTCAAATCTCTTTTCTATCTGAAACTTACTTTGGTGTAATGAATGAAGAACTTTTATCCTCACATGGCTAACCCCCTGGAACAAATCTTTAACAAATCTAATTTCTAGATTTTGGTCTCGTTGTTACAATCTTACTTTAAATAACACATTAGCTGTTTAGACCCTCTGAGACTCCAGAGCTAGTGGGAAATCAAACTCCTCCTTTAGCTTTGGATAGGAAAATGTTAAGCAGAACCAAAGGCTTCCAAGGCTGGGTAGGTCTACTATTTTGCCAAACCCTAAGGCTTCTGAGGATAGCACTTAAGTGGAGACAAGGTCACCTTGGCCAACATAATTGCAGCAGAGGAAGGGTGAGGCTGAAACCTCAGAATCGGTCATCATAATTCTATTTCACCACAGTCTCCACACAGGGTCAGACTATGCCAGCGATAAAGTCTGCCTTTGTTCCTTCTCTTATGATGTAATGTGCGCCCTTGGCCCACTTCTCACAATAAATGCCAGCCCTGGATGAGCACATACTTTCCCAGAGCTTCAATTAGCATGTCTGTGCAAATGACTCACAAATCCTCAATTCCAGTCCTCCGGCAACTACTAAGCTCCACAGCTGTACTTCCAGCTGCCTACAAGTCATTTTTGCATGGATATCCCACAGGAACCTTAAACTCAACACATCCTGCTCCACATTTCTTATTCCCCAAACTACTTCTTTGGTTTCCAATCTCCCGTCCTTTTAGCCAGGCAGTCTTAAAACCACCATCATCCTCCAAAATGTCTCAGATCCACTCTCCTTTTCCACTCCACTGCCACTATCTGAGTGAAGGCATTATCATCTCTGGCTTGGATTGCAATGCATCTAACATCTCTGTCCCCTTTCAACCTCCTCCAACTCATCCTTCAAACTACCTCTAGGTGTCTGATGTGGTCACTCCCAGATCTCAAGTCTTGAGAGGTTTTACACTTCCTACAGGACAAAATTCCAACTCTATAAAACAGCATTCAAGGCTTTCCACACTCTTTACCCCAATTTCCCTTCCCCCTATTCCTGCAATTCCCACACCTCCACCACTCTACACTTTTGTTCCATTTCATTGACTTCATTTTTTCACACTATTCCATGTACCTGGGATGCCTGTTAAGGTCTGGCCACCTTTCACCAGGGTTCTGACCATAAGTCAGAATGAGTTTCTCCTCAATCTTTAGACCTGTGCTGTCCACTACTGTAGCTTCTAGACACATGTGGCTAGTCCAAATGGAGATGTGCTGGAAGTGTAAAGTGTTCACAGGATTTGAAAGATTTAACAGAAATAAATTAAATGTAAAGTATCTTAATTTTCTATAACAATTACATGTTGAAACGGTAAGGCTTTGGATATAATGGAGTAAAAACATGTATTAATTTCACCTGTTTCTTCTTTTTAAAAGTAGCCACTAGAAAAGTTAAAATTACATGTGGCTCACATTATATTTACATAACATATAAATTATACATTACATCATAGGATAGAGCTGTTGTACGTTTCTATGAGCCTTCATTAATGCCTTCATTTATTCAGTTGACGAGAAATGCTCCTGACCAGTCCAGTGGGGAGCTTACGTTCCAGCTGTGGCTTATAAATGTATATAGATGACTTTGCTTAACATTTAGCACAAAAAAACAAATTATCAACAGTACTAACTACATCCTTTCTACTTCTCTCCTGCTCTCAGGTTCTCCCAAAGATGACATCACTTGTGGTAAATGAGATTGATAACATATTGCGCAACAAGCCCTACAGCAAAAAGGACTACAGATCATAAGGCAATGCATGAGCCACAGAAGCTGCATGGTTAACATAGCGGTCTGTATCCAGTACAGAACGGTGTTACTAGCCAGTCTTTTGAAAAGTCACTTCGCAGCCTGCCGCTCAACCTCTAGTGTCCCTGGATTCCTTGAGGTGTCTGCTGTCGCTACCACTGTGCACCTGAATTATGAGCACATCTGAAAACTCACAACCTAGAATAGCCATTCTATTTTCTTATCTTCGACTGGAGTCACCTATTCTTGCATTGCTCTGTACACCTCATACTTATGCAATGGAAAGAATATGGGGGAAAAAGATGAATTACCTTCAGGCATATGGTAACTTAAAGAAGGCTGTACAGATATATTTTTTCAAAAGAACAAAATCCACAGATGCAATGTGAATTGCATAAGAAACAAAGTAAGATATCTTCACTCAGAAATCTTGCTTGGGAGAATAAGCAGAAGCAATTTTACACTTTTTTCCCTATTTTCACATTCATATTAACAAGTTTCATTTCACTTGTCATTCAACAAAACTAAAATTTCTAAGTATTTGCTTTCATTACCTTTAAAATTTTTACTGTTGCTTGGTCCCAAAAATGGCCCTGTACAATTTATCAAGGTGTTTAACAGGATTCAGTTATGTCCATTTACATGCAGAGACAGTAAAAGGATGAACATCCCAATCTTTTGCTGGAGACATTATGGCTAATTTATGAAAGGGAGGGTTACACTGCTATAAAAACAGCTTCGAATAAAACGCAATGTATCTGCAATTAAGTGTTCATTTACTACATTTTATTAAAACCTGCTTTATACTTTCAATTGCTTGTGGGCACAACTTCTGCAAGTTTAAATATTTGAGCTTTAAAAATAAATACACACATGTTCAGTTTTGTAACTAAACCTGTAAAATACCCATAAAGGCAGACATTCACTGTTTAATTACAATATAATGCTTGGCACTTTTGGGGATTTTACAATATAATGCTTGGCATTTTTGAGGAGTTATTAACATGAAAGTTAATCGCAGGCTTTGTGAAAAATGCTATGTCACTATTCAGAATATGCTGGATGAATTAACTTGCCCGGTGAAAAGCAAAATGTTAAAGAACTTCCTGACTCTATAATCACATTATATGCACTAACCTATATGCATGAAAGTTCTTTGCATGGAATGAAGGGGCTTGGCCTTGTTGCACTCAGAATCTGAAGTACACCTAGCCCTGCCACTATTGGCTACTTACCCTCATTAATACCCTACTTGAGAAAAATTGTGAGAATAAACTGTGTGTGTTGATATCTGTAAAAAGGGAGAAAACATGTTTTTCTTTCTTTTTTGGAGGGGTCGGGGCAGGGTTGGTCCTTTAACTCTATTTGTACATCTGAGGATGTACAAAATTCTAATTTAATTTTCTGGTCAGCAGGTTCCCTCTAGAAATAATTTTGAGGTTTACAGAAGAAATACATCATCTTAAAATGCTATTTTCTGTCCTCATTTCCAGATATGTATTTCATGGTTAAGTTCTAAATCTTAAAATGTTAGTGGGAGACACCAACAAATTTTCTTTTTAATTACTACTACCTGTATTCTAATAGGGAGTTTGAATTTTTGCACTAGAGTATCAGATTAATGATGGAAACAGATCACTTTTTTCAGTTGTTCACTGTGTATGCAATCCAGTGAACTACTGTATGTATAAATGAGCTGAGGTGCTGGCTAATGGGAAATGCAATTGAACTTATTTATTTGCTTAGAATAATAAAAGCATTTTGTGCATTCAATCTCAATTTTTATCTGATCTTTCATTATAAAGCATAAGATATGTATATATTTCATATATAAAATACACACATATAAAATACATAGAGTGCCATAAAATAAGCAATAACAATATAAATAAAAATTATGTTGGCAGCTAAGCTGCACTGAATACCTAACTAATAGTGGTGATCAAAAGACTGAGAATTAAATTGCAATCCATAACTTTTTTCTCATTAATGGAGAATATGATTAGCTACTGATGATATTATTTTTCACTGGGTTTTAGAACACTCTGCACTAAGTGTAAAGGCTTCTCAAAACTCACTTAAATAACCTGCAAATTGAAACCAAATACAAACATTATTGCTTAGCTGTAGGAACAGCCAGTTCTTTATATGCAAATCATCTGCCATGGTAAATATACTAGATAATACATTTCAGTTATGTCCTTACAAAAATTTCCATACTCTTTTCTCTTCTGGAAAGAATTCCCTGGCAGAGAACATATCATTCTGAAGCGTAACCTGGGTAGCAGCCATCCCTATGCTGAAATCTCTGGCAGTTCGGGAAATGCAAACCAGAAGTCCCATGCTTGGCCTTCCCGTTTAAGAACTGTCACTTTATCTTCGTGAATACAGTGCCAAAAGTCATAAGGCAGATGTTAGAGCTTCAAGGAGCCTTAGCCATTTGCAAAGCCACCCCTCTTTGAAAAATGAGCAAAGTGGACATGGATAGATGAAAGAACTTGCCCAAACTCACACTACTAGTTGACTTACAGGGCTAGGCCTGAAACCCAAGTACTTTGTGCTCCAGTTCAGTGCTCCTTTAAGTTTTTTATTTTGTTTTTTTAAGACTTAAAGTTTTATGCAGAATTAACTGTGTGTGCAAATTTTTAAGTTAAAAAAGCCTGGGTCTGACTCCAAATTCAGGAATTAGATAAGAGAGAATAGTCAGAGAAGAGATGCAATGAAAACTCATGAAGGTCAATGAGAAGTTAGTCTCTAACCACCTCCCTGAAAATCTAAGCCAATCACTCAAAAGACCCTCCTAATCTTCAATTAATTCCCCTGCTTGGGAGTCCAAGAAGGTGGGAGATAGTCCCTTATAGCCCAAATATATATATCTGTAAACTGGTTTTCTCCATACATGTACCTGTACACATATATGTATCCTTCCTTAGTGTTTTCAGAAACAGTAGTGACTTGCACGCACACTGAAAACAAAGAAACTGGGTGGCCAGGAAAGCACAGCAGGCAAATACTGGCAGATGCCTGACGTCTGTTCTTTACAGTCGTTGCCTCACAGATACTTGATGAGTAACTACAAAAATACACATTTACATGTGTAGGAAATTTAAATGATGGTTAATGTGAAATAATGTAATAAACATGATATACTTATTCACATGATTCTTATAAAGAAGTCTAGGGAATATACAAATTTTTAAAAGCAAAGTTTAATCATACTTATTAAGCAAGGCCTTTCATAAGAATTTTGAGTATAAATTCAAATTCCATATTTCAGTTAACTTAAAATCTTGTTTCAAATTATCCTTTCCAAGTTGTAATAATATGCCAAATAAGACAACTAGTAAATTTTTAATGGCTAAGAATAATTTTAATCCAAGATTTTTATTCAGTTGTAAATGAACAAACTAAAAATAGGGGAATAATATGTTGTTAACGCTTTAAGCTTCTACTTATCATGAGTGTGAAAAAGGGAACTTGATCATTTTGAATACCAATTACACCAGAATCCCTTTTATTTTACTGGTGCTGGGTATAGGGTTTTTAAGATAAAAATTCTACAGCAGGTTTTTACTATCTATACCAGATTCAGCACAGAATTTAAATGCCATATAGCTCTTTCAGTTGATGGGGAGAGTACTGGGGAAAAGGTTTTGCAGTTCCCAAGTGTAAAGTACTGGTACAGTAAAACCTTAATGAACTCTGTTGAACTGTGAGTACATGCCTTATAATCTTATGCACAGAAATATATCTAACATACAGCATGCTAGAAAACAGGATCAGGAGCAAAAACAAAGAGCGCTGCAGGAAAAATTCAGGACAGAAAACAAATTTTTTGCTTACTCACTTTTCTACAAATTTTCAGTTTATTTATTCAAGACAAATTCAATTAAGAATGTTAGGCTGATACTCCTATTTCACCACCCCATCTCAGCTACACTATTTATCATACCAAGAATGGTGGCAATTTTTTCTCCACCCACACAGGCACTGCCATCTAGTGGCAAGTTTTCACTTGCAATTTAAAGAGATATTTGACCCAGCAAATAGACACTGAAAGTTTGTCAAATAATCATTTTGTCAAGTAAGCAAATGCATTTGGTACAGTCTCCATGCCACCAAACTACTCACTGTTTTTTTTTTTTTATCAACAGTAAGGAAAAATTAAAATAAATAAATAAACTTCTTACTTGTTGTTCTAACTGTACCTTGCAATAAATCTCTTCTGACTTCCCTATTCATCCACATTATCTAGTGATGGCACTCAGATAACACTGCACCAAAGAAAAGAACTACAACCTTCTAGAAGCAATGATGAAATATAATCCTCAACTACAGACAATGATCATCTGGGTAACTATGCAAATGCACTCCTGCCACCCCTATCTTCCTTCCTAGTTCCTGGATAAAGCCCACCAATGCACCCAATTGCATGAAAGTGAAAGGTGAACTCCTGATGAATACCTTTTTTATAAAGTTATAAATAAAATGGCTAGTATCATTTATAACATTCATATTAAATTCAGAAGTGGAAACTAAAGATCAGGAATATATTTCCTTAGAGGTACTGCTTATAGAAAATTACTGGATGTGGTCAAAAGCTAATAGGAATATAAAACCAGTATCACTCATGATTCCACATCCTTTTAAGTGGCAGAGTTTAAAGAAGTTTTCAAACTTTTCCAAGTCATGGCACACAGGCAGAAAATGATAATATCTGTACAAACATGGTAACAAATATGAGACACTCGTCTTAGCTGGACCCTTAAGAGCAGAAGGGATCAATAATTTGTTCTCAACTGATGGGAACCTGTGGACTAAAGGGCCAAATTTATGAAAGTCCTAATGGAAAAATGCTGACAAGCACTAAAATGACGGTAAATTCCTTGGAGAGTTCTTAGAATTCCAGAACTAAGATCACAAAAATTACTTTGGTCTTTTACATGTCAATATTCAGGAAAGAGGTTCTCTCTCTCTCACTTAGCATTCTTCCAGTGGCGTGAGACCCTGGTCAAGGAAAACAATGACTCCAGTGTCTTAACTAGTCAAACCAACATGGCAGGGTCAAGTTGACCGCCCTAGCCACCCAGGGCCAGAGCCATACGGCTGAACAGTGTGTGCTTTAACCCTGCAGGACAACTCTCATATGCCTGGGCACTATTTTTAGGTTACTTTGGCTGCCTTTCCTCTTCTAAATTTTTTTTTTAAAAAAGGAATTTTCCCACAAGTCTCTCTTCCCCAAGTTGGAGAGACCAAGTTTTTAACTTTATCTTGTTTCAAATCACAAATTCAGAGATTTGTAAACAAGAGGTTTCTGTTCTATCCCCTGGGAAGAGGATTCATTCTGATATTTACGGTTCAAAAAAAGTTGTAATATTATGCTTGGAACACAGAGAACCAGTTATTAACTTCTTGCTCCTATTATAAATAATAACAGCTCAGTCCAGGTTACTGTGACCTCTGACAGATCAAGGAAACAAGTTATTTTCTCCTCTTGTGAATTCAGCACATTTTGAGACACTTTTTGCTTTTAATAAATGTCCTGGTACTGAGAGTTTCCCTTTCAATTCATTTAATTTCAACAATCTGTCAAAAAGAGCCAATAAACAAATACTGAATTACATTCTGTTGGGTTTTTTAAAACCCTCAAACTCCAGACTATAAAAACATCTTGTGTGTCTTCCACCCTGACCACCCTGCTACTGTTCCATATGCCACAGGCCACCCATAGATACAAAGCCAGGGGCAAAGATGACATGGACTACTTGGAGCCAGTCGACAGAAGGGCGATGAGTCCTGATGAAGCACTCATGGACAAAATGTAGTTCCTGTAAGAATTTCAGGTTAAGGAAAAATTAAAAACCCCAAATTAGTTTTTCAATAAAATAAAAAAAGCCGATGTCTTTGGAATGTAGTTTCCCTCCTGATACTCTGTATAATAACAATGACATGCAGTCCCATTTTCAGCAAACACAATTTGCAAGACAGAAAACTGTAAAGAATGAAAACATTCACAGGAAATGTGTTCCAATTTAAAAAATAAAACACATGATACAGAAAACTGTAATAGATGACCACAAAGAACACATCTGAATTCCATTTAACCTTCACAAGAAGAGCTGATCAAGAGTGGCAGAGGAAAGAGAGACTCTTTCTCCCAAGAGCAAAGGAAAAATAAGTCTCCCCTATCAATCAGTGTTTTGTTGCAGTTGGCATGTAAAAGCAAGGAGCTTCTGAAAGTTCACAGCTATTCCCAGCCTCTGAACTGGGCCATTTTTGGCAAACCACCCAAGTATTCCCAGAAGATACAAGCTGTAGGGTGTCTGATATTTTATTACATCACAATGTCCAATTGTTAAAGACATGATGAACATTCCTGAATAACATCTTTAATAAATTACCTTAATAAGAGACAACTGATTCTTGCCCAAAAGCTCAATTTAAAAGCAGCTTGAAAACTATTAAGATATAATGAAATGTGCCTATTTAACTATACTGGCCATCCACCTAACCCCAAAGCCCCAAAATAATAGCACACACATGGGCTTATGCCAGGAGCTATCAAAGAAGGCAAGATTGCTTTGGCTCCTTGGAACTTTTTTCAAGTAGGCAGGTACACATAATCACATACATAAGACTGCTTCGTAATACTTATTTATCATAAAGTCACAATTTATAAACTTAAAAGAACATTAAATAAAACAAAAAGCTGTTATTTTAAATGTCCAGAAACCTGCCTAAAGTCAGGCTATTTGCTGGACTGACTCCCAGAGCAGTTTTTCTTTCCACTAAAATACTCAGACAAGTTGAAGCCAAATTGAACTACTATTTCTAGACTTCTAAAAAAGATAATCAACTCTTAAAAGGATACACAGTAGGATTGAAGTTCTTCAGTATAAAGAAGGAAGCAACAATGACCAAGACCAGAAATAAAGTGTTGTTATAGAAGATCGAAAATGTTGTAGCTTCATAATCTGCAACTTCATTTTTCTTCCACAAAATTCTGGAGAGACAGAAACAAGTCAAACAAGTTCATAAATATGATTAAAAACTTTAAATACCACATAGTTCTAGTTCATCACAATCCAAGTTTATCCTTACATCCTCAATGGTGAGAATGTGTTTTTAATATCAAATTTAGTCAGAACTATTCCCTTTCTTCCACCAAAAAAGATGTTTCCTCTCTCTTTATTGATGCTGAAGAAAACAGTTGTTGGGTCAGGCCGCCAGGAATAAGGAGGAAGGGACTGATTAATTGCAATTGGTATCTTAGCAGCTACAACATGCATCTTTCTCTAGGTCCACACCTAGATCTGTACCCTGACTTGAGGTTCTCTACAGCCAAAGGATTTCAGCCTTCAATATCACACTACTTAGGAAGATAATTCCAACAAGAAAAACTAGTTCTGGTCTCAAAGAGGCAGACTATTTATTGTTAGCCATCCTCACTTAGTTCAAGCAAAGAATCTGCTTGATCATTAGGTGAATTTTTTTTAACTTTTTAAAACCTTATTACTTTTTATTTATTCTATTTTACTTATTATGATTTAATCTTATTAATTTACTAGTATTTTATCAGCCTTTTCTTTTACCCCTTCACATAGGGAAGAGGAAGTTCCAGGGTGCCTGTGAAAAAGGCAGGCTTTATTCCTCTTGGTTAATTAACTTTGTAAAGCAGTTTTTAAAAAGGGTAGGCTGTGACCCATCAGTGGGATGTGAAATCAATTGTGTGGATCGAATGTCCAGGGAAATTAACTGAGTGGATTGAGACCACAATTTTTTTTTAATGAAATAGGAAAAAATAGAAAAATATCAAGAGGGCAACACATATCATTGTTTGTGAAACATTTGCATGTGTACCTACATGAGTGTATTTGGCCAAAAATTAAAATATATATGTATTTTTTTACTGTGGGTTATTATCACAAACGTTGAAAACCACTGCTGTAGACACTGTGTTCCAAAAAAAGATACCCTTCTCCAGAGCCAGATGACACACAACCCCTCCTTCTCCATCCTAAAAACAATGGCTAAACTTCACGGGTAATTGGCACATTTTATTCACCATGTGTTCTAATCCAAAGTAAACAAGTTTAGCTGTAAAGGACTAAGTGAAGAGTATTATCACCTTGTCCTCATCATAAGAAATCTGTAGTCTCTAATACATATGCCGTATTTCCTTGATTCTACGAATACCATCAACTTAATAAATCTTAAATTTACTATAAGTTTGGGGGAAGGGAAGAATATTACATTACATACATCAACTACAAGACACCTTCTGATTTCAGAGAAGGTTAAATGTAAATTAAAAAATACATATGACTTGAAACTGGCGAATACCATCAACTTAATAAATCTTAAATTTACTATAAGTTTGGGGGAAGGGAAGAATATTACATTACATACATCAACTACAATACACCTTCTGATTTCAGAGAAGGTTAAATGTAAATTAAAAAATACATATGACTTGAAACTGGGGGAAATACATTTTACCATTCTAACATTAAGCAAAGAAAATCAAGCCCAGTAAGATACATAGTACTAACACGATTTAATGCTAGAAAACCCTCAGAACAATGGCCTCTCTTTTTTAAGATGCTGGCATAAGACACAATGAAGACAGGCTCCTGAAGCAGGCTGCTAGCATGCCTTTACTCCAGCTCCATCACAGCACTTCTCCCTAACTCCCTTTCTGTGATGACCTAAATCAGAACCATCTTCAAAACAGTTAAGATGAAAAAAGTGGCCCAATCCTTTAGGTTACCCTACCTCCTAATAGGACCATGTGTTAAATCAGTGTACAAACAGTCAGGACAGCCTCCAGAACTTTTTCTAGTCCACCCATATACCAGTTATTTTGAAAAAATTTAGGACCCCGAAATGCTCTCATTGTCAATGGTCTGTCCTCCTAATAGGACCATGTGTTAAATCAGTGTACAAACAGTCAGGACAGCCTCCAGAACTTTTTCTAGTCCACGCATATACCAGTTATTTTGAAAAAATTTAGGACCCCGAAATGCTCTCATTGTCAATGGTCTGTCAAATCTCCACTGGTAGGAAATCTAGCTTGGGAGAACACTTCCCAAAGAGTCATTTTTCCACAGAGAGCTTCCTTCAACAGGAGAAAAATTGAGAACAAACAGCAACTGTTAACAATCAGATGCTAAATGACAGCTCACAGATAAATCAAGAAGAAATAACACTCACACCCTGGAACAAATGTTAATGAATCTCAATTTTCCTCTGCTTATTACCATCCTTAGATGAATGTGTACTTTAAAACACTTTCAAAGTGGCATAAAGTATATACTCCAGATGACTGTACATAAAGCTTTGAGATGCACCTCTAGGTGAAGAAGAGCTGATAATACTTCTCTTAGGTCAAATCTCTTGAGCAGCAACTTATCTTTTGAGACAGAATCATACTAGATTGTAACGAGAGTCTCTGGTCCCAGTTAGCAGGGTAAATCATGAATACAGACCTAGGTAAAACTTCATCCAGTGTGGCTTTTGTGAGAGATATCAACAGCACCAACTTCTACCAATGACAAGAAGAGAAATTTTACAGTCTTCTGATACACTGAATTTTACCTCCACTTCATCCTACTTTGAAATATCTAATCCAGCAAATGGCAAAGATATTTCATTCCCAATTCTAACTCTGATCCACTAGCAATGACTACCTGAACGCTGCACTGAGAAGGATTCTGAGACATGTCCCAGGATCAAGAACAAGTGCCAGACCAAATCAGGCGAGTCTGCAGTGGACAGAGGTGACCCACTGCCATCCCTCATAATTAATTACCCAAAACCTGTAAAAACTGTAACAAACATTTTGAAATTTGAGTAACTATGATGCACACCCCAGTTTAAGAAACACTGTTCCAATAAATATAATAAAAAGGTTATTTTTAAAAAGTGTTCTAGATTCTCTAACCTCTATCCCTATGCAAAAATACACAATCAGAAAGCTATGTAGCCAGACCTTATTGTAGTTGCTCGCTGCAAAAAGGCCTTCATTGTCATGATCTTAATATTATGCTTTCAGTTTTATAAAGGATCCACAGGAGATAATTATTTCAATAATGCTTGGTGTCCTTCCAAAACCACTGTAGAAGACATTGTTCATTAAGTTACTCAGTGTCCCTTCAATAAGGATCCACTTGATAAAGTCCTTCCAAGATTCAGTGCCAGGAAAGTTTCTCTTCAGAGGACCTGCATGCTGCTTCTCATCAGACAATGAAAGCTGTATGACCTCAGAATTAATTTTAGTGCTTAACTGCTGTAACTAACTCTAAGGTGCTTGTTCACCTTTTCTTCCTTTTAAATGGTTTCTGATCCTTTAAAATTGTATTACTTTGTTTTATATGCACTTTAATATTCCAAGTTCCTGCTAAGTCTTTCTGGAGCAAAATAGTATAAAAACTCTGTTTCACGAAGCACCTTTTTCACACTAAAGATCCATGAAAACAACCAGACTCATGACTCTATTAAACCATCAGGCAACTCTTAAGCACAAATTTACTCAATCATTCAGTAACTTCAGTTCATTGAGTAACTTCAGTTACTCAAATGTCAGCATATTTAACCTTTCTAAGAGAAGCTGGCAAGAAAAATTGGGAGAGGGGGGCTAACAAAAGTAGCACAGATTTGGGCAACAGGAGACAAACCCAGTTCTTTTCTTTTTCCCAATCAATGCAGATAACCAAGAACTGGATGTGAAGCCCAGGAACAGAAATACCCCCACTGAGAAATGCCAAAACATTAACACAACATAAACCTTCAGACCCACAGGGGTTAGGTGATATGAGGTAAATTTTGTGCTCAAGGTTGCACAGCTATCAAGAAGCAGACACAGCACTGGACAAAGCTCTGTAGCTTCATAAATTCCAGCAGAGCAGTTATGAGTACAAGCTCTCAAGTCAGACTGCCATGGACCTACCATGTACTAATCTATGACTTTGGGCAAATTACCCAAGCTTTCTGTACCTTAGCTTCCTCAGATTAAAATGGGGGCAAATACCTCACAGGTCTCTTCAGAATAAATCAACCATGTATAGCACAAAGAAAATTATCTGGTCATAAAAACTCAAAGTTACCTACTACTACTCCCACTGCTGCTACTTCTACAATTCCAAAATTTACCTCAAACAATTCCAATTCCACATTCTCTAAGAAGAAATCAAAAGCTTATTTTCCCCAAAATACCCCCTTTTTGATCTCCACACTTTTTTTTTAATGGAAAGCTTTGTGTTATTTTTCAATTCTATTAATTCTGTGAACCTTTTTTTACTTTTTATTTTTATTTTTTTGTTTTAATTTATCAATATACACTGCAGTTAATTTTCATGTTCCTTTACCAATTCCTCCTTTCCTTCCCTCCCTCTCCCACTTCCTCCCCCATCAACATATCTGTTCACTTGTCTTAACGAGTTCAAGGAACTGTTCCACAAACACTTTAAATAAGGAGTCAAACCTTTCATCTTTCTCCTTCCGAGACATCTTTCTATTATCAGCTTCAGAAAGTTTTCGAGTCACTTCTTTGGAAACAGCATCTTCCCTCTTCTGTGCTACTCTGGAAGGAAAAGAAAAAAAGAAAAAAGTTTCCACATGCTCCAGGGGTGAACTCACACTCTCTCAGAAACACTCTGTACCCATATTTTTGTACTGGCAACTGAATGATACTTTACATTTCAAGAAAATAAACTAGACAGAAAGTTCCAAGTTTATTACACTAAAAAGCCAAAAGAGAAGTTCAAAAAACTTGCAAGATGTGGTTTATTAGTTATATGTTTTGATCCTGCTAAAAGGCAGAATTTTCCAAAGTTTAGGTATTTAATATGAAAATAACAGTCAAATGCTATTAGGACAATTTAGTTATAAATCACTATAACTACATTTTGTTTTAATCTCTAACTGCCCAACAAATAAATTTCATAAGGTATTAGCAAATGATATATGATTTCAATTCCAAGTAAATTATAGGAAAGAAAGCTAGGCTTAATAAACACAGGGGGAGTAGCTGTAATATCTTATAGTTATGCTTTTCACTCCACTCCAAAGAACCACTTCACTAAAAAGGAATAATACCATAGTCAGGGATTGACCACACCACTTTTAGTTAAATTAACCACTAGTTTGAGGGTTGCGCCAAAATTAAGATGGAATCAGACAGAAAAGGCTGGAAGTGTCACATAAGAACTTAGAACCTTTAGTAATGAGTCAGATGAAGAAAAAATTAAATGTCTACTCATCAAAAAATCTATAGATGAATTTTTATCAGATGAGGTTGCTAGTCAAAGTGGATAAAATTTAAACTATGATGAAATACAAAAAGCCTCCTATAGGGCCGGCCCGGTGGCGCACTGGAGAGTGCGCCGCTTGAGAGCGTGGCGGCGCTCCCGCCGAGGGTTCGGATCCCATGTGGAGACCGGTTCCTGCTCACTGGCTGAGCGCGGTGCGGACGCAACACCGAGGGTTGCGATCCCGTTGCCGGTCCCCGGTACAGGCGTGACACCGAGGGTTGCGATCCCGTTACCGGTCAGTAAAAAAAAAAGACAAAAAGGAAAAAAAAAAAAAAGCCTCCTATAGACCATGATGTTTAAATTCAACATGGTATATTTTTCATAATATATGAGAAACTGGTTATAAATATGGAAGAAAAAGTAGTAACTGACCATTAGCAAAACTTAACAAATTATATACACAGTCCCACTATGAAAACATTCAACATAGTATCTGGATATGGAACATGGGGATAGAAAACTGTTCACCTTGTGTTCAAGTAATCAATTCCTCATTACTATGTTGTATTTAGTTCTGGTCAATGCACTGAAGAAAAATGTGCAGAAATCAGTACAGATTCAAGAAAAGAAAGCCCAGGATCACTCATGACAGCCGTTTTCAATCTTTCTTCAACCACAAGAGCTTCTGAGACATAAGCACAAATTATGTCTGATGTGATGTATGACTTCCTCCCCAGCCCTCTCACTCAATAACTGAGTTACAATTGACATGGTTAAAAAGAAAACTTTTAGTCAGCTTCAACTAACGTATTTTTTTAAAGGTTTTTAAAAGTTACCTTTTAATTTTGTTACCCCACACAAATAGATAACTGGAGGGAGGAAAAAAAACTTTTTGTCTAAAAAAAAAAAACTTCCATAACTTTCAGAAGTTATGAAACCTAAATAAAAAGTTAGCTAACAAAGACAGCTGTCTTTTTAAGAGATACTTTAGAATACTACAATATACTTTTTACTCCAAAGATCCAGCTTCACCCAACTCATTTTACTAGAAGTTTCTCAGATGCTTCTTTCATTCTTGAGACACTAGGCTCTGAAAGGAGAGACTCCTCTCTTAACCTCTCTAGCAGACCAGGCACTAAGTTAGCGTTTCTTGAACTTAACACCAGACAACTTTTTCTACAAAAGACCAATTGAAGAGAAATGGACATTGTTTACAGCAGACACCTTTTTTAGCTGCGTATAAAAAATACACACACCAACTGTCTGAGTGCTAGAACACAAGAATAAACTATTTTCAAAAGAGTTGGTTATCTCTAAGCATCTTTAGAACAAATAGTTGATCAACTGTTCACATGACAAATCTTCCTTCCTTAAGACACGAAACCAGATAACTAAGTAATTTCTCTCCTAGGTCTAGAATTCTATACTCGTCTACCAGAGGCCTAACAACCACCCTGTAGGTGTATAGTAACTCAGGAAGAGGAAGTCCTCCCCTCTGTCTTAGGGCTCTTAGAAGATAAACCTCACTTAGTGCTGAATGTTCTAAAACAAGATAGAGGTCACCACAGTGGTTCAGCACTCAACCAACTGAGATAATCCACAAAAATCAACTATATTTTTCTTCTTCTTTTTTTTTTTGGCATTAGTATGTCAGAATATTTCCAGCATTTAAAACAACAACAAAAAAAACCTATTTATTTAATTTCTCACATCTTGCAAACCTTGTTTTTTTTGGTTGTTTTTGGGTTTTTTGGCAGCTGGCCGGTATAGGAATTCAAACCCTTCATCTTGGTGTTATAACACCTGAGCTAACCAGCCAGCCCTCTGCAAACCTTGTTTAAATCATGCCACCTTTTTAAAAAATTTTCCAAGGGCTCTCTTACCCCAACCTCTCCGACCCTGGACATAAACATTTATTATGTGCCAGACACTATGTTTAACATGTCACACATATGATCATATTTAATCTTCACCATCCTCCAAGGTACCATTAGTATCCCCATTTTACAGCTCAGGAATCTGAAATTTACACAGGTAAAATGTATGCCCAAGGCTATATGTTTATGAACAGCAGAGCTGGGACTGGAAGCCAGACTGTTGACTCTGAAGCCATCTTCCTTCTACCACCAACACCTACCCGCTCTCAGCATCACACTGGATCTTTGAGCCTTAACCATCTTGCAAATCAGTAGGAATTTTGATGTCAGTAGCAATATTTAATATTAAACCAAAACTATGACTAAAAAAAAAAATTCCACTGTGAGAGTCTATTAAGTCAGTAAGTCACTGAAATTTTATTGAACTAAATATACTGTTAACTATTATAAGGGATATTAAGTAAAAGATATGGCAGTTGCCCTCAAGAAGCCAAAAGTAGAAATAAGAAGGTAAAAAGAACATGACTTTGATTCCAAAGAGGTGAATAAACAATGATATGCAGAACAAGTTAAAAAGCCAAATCCCAAAGATACTGAGTTCCAAGGGGATCACAAAGGACAGGTCATACAAGATTCCACTTCAGAGGGCTTCACTGTCCACAGCCAGCCATGCCTCACAAGAAACACAGTCCAGAACAGCAGACACTGAGATGAGCTGAATCCTGGAATGGCAGCTGGTAGAGGAACTTCCAAGCAGAAATGTGATAAAGATGACCTGATTACTCTGCTGGTCTATCAGAACTGTTGACCATGAAACCTGAGCTCCTGTGTGTCCAGAACAATGATGGGAAAACTGCTGAGCCATTTTTGGCTGCTGAGGCCATTTCTGGACATTTCTTACAACAAATCCCAGTTAGCTGAGATCATCTCAACATGTTTCTATTCCTCATTACTAGAAAGAGCCTAACACAGGGACAACAAAGCAAAGGATTGATCAAAGACAGGAAGAATTTCTCTGGATAAGATTCCTAGGTCTCAAAATAATAGACATGTAAGAAGAGAAAGGAAGGGAGATGATCCTAAACGGGTGAGGGCACAAGTCACATTTAAAGTATGACACGAAGGCAGAGTCAGAAGACCTAAGGCCCAATTCTAAAAGATGAGCTACATTTGTAGAAAACAGGCAGATGACTCGCATTTCAGGGGTCTGCAAAAATTTAGTTTTAATACATTAGAAAAAAGAAGACCATAATGAGTTATTAGGAGAATAACACAATAAAAAATATGTTAGATAAGAAGGAATACATAGTCTTCATCCCAAAAAACATGAATACTACCTTCATCTCACACAGATGATGTAAAGATTACAGAAAGTAACGTGTTTTACATGATGCATGATAAGGTGGGCCCTAAACTTTAGTTTTAAGAAACCAGATGGTGACTACTACAGCAATCCAAGCAAAAAGAGTGTTCAAACTGGAGTGGAAACTATATAAATGAAAAATATAATGTGAATACAAAGCACACTGGCACTTTGAGTATTAGCAAAATTCCAACTGTCTTTAAGAAATATTTCCAAAGAAATATAGCACTTACAAGGCCCCACTGAGGAAACAAATATCCTGCTACCCCTTTAGTGTACATGAGAGCAAATTCAAAGGGCATCTTTCCCAATTAAACAATAATTCATACCTGTTTCCCATGAGTACCATGGCACTCAGAAATAACAGAGGTTATCATCTTTCCTAAGTCTAGACTCTCCCCCATTTTAACCTTTATGAAACCAGAGTATGTAATTGCTAATAATTAATATATATATATTATTTTTTTTTTGTCGCTGGCCAGTAGAGGGGTGACCTCGGTATTATAAGGCTGTGCTCTAACCAATTGAGCTAACTGGCCAGTCCTAGTCCTACTGCATAAATCTATTGTAAGGCTTGGGTTTTCTTTTCAAAAGTTATTATTAAAATAATTATATATGAAGAGTCTTCAAAAAGTTCATGGAAAGCGGCATATTATCTTTCAATACCATTTTTCCATGAACGTTTTGAAGCACCCTCATATTTTACAACTGTAATTTTAAAATAGAGGAAACACAGTAATCCTTTACATTTCATACACATTAGAAAAAATGTAATTAACATTGAAAATGTCAGAGTTTAATAAAAAAAGGACCATTTCTTTCACTTCCAGAAATAGTAAATGGAGAGCCCAGAACAATTCTTTCCAGAAAGAATTCCATTTGGCTATCAAAATGTTAATTTATTTGGTGGCTCTGGTTTTCTGATGAACCCCATGATTAAGGCTAGTGCTTAAATGTTCTAATTCCACCCTCAAAACCTACTTCCATAGTAGTGTCTGACAGATCATTGTCTCTGCTTTGGTTAGTTAACAATTCTTCCTAGCATCAATGTGACTTCCTGCCAAAATATATATATATATACATATATATCTCAAATTAATGCTTATTGAAACTAGCACACACAAATGATCTTTAAGAAGACATGCTACTGTACAAAAATGCAACATGTAATACATACTTTCATGTTGTATTATACTTACTTGTGCTTGAGAACAAATTTTACATTCTTGTATGCAAAAGCTACCAAATAAGTGCTTATTAGGGTCATCACACTATACAGAACAGCAGACTGAATGAGATCCATATGCCATATTCGCCAATATAACCCTGAATTAAGATAAGGGGGTGGGGGATACAAAAAGGAATAAAATATTACTACCCCATTACAAAGACCTGTTGAATTAATTATACCTAAGTTTGGTAAAAACATAGTAGTGGTTAAAGAATGCAATACAGTATGAGAGAATCTTCAGAAGTTAGATATCCATTTAAAACAGTTACAGTCTCAAGCTTTCCCAGTTCAGAACACTTGAAAAACCTAACCTTTCTACTACCAATCCAAGTGAAGTTTCTGCTTCTTCAAAAATTAGAACAAACGCAACAAAATCACAATTAGGACTTAAAATTTCATTCATCAGCATACTATTATGCTAAATACAGGCCATTCCAAAACTCCACGTGCAGTCCCAAACCATAGTTTACTTGACGACGTGGCTGTTATCTGCAATCAAGGCAGTGCTTTGCCGGTGGCTTTGCCAGTGGCTCCACACCACGTTCACTGCACCTTAGGTTTTAAGGCCAAAATTGAAAATACATTTGGATTTGACTGCCCAACAACCGTGCAGATATGCGAGAAAGGAGATTCAAATTTGGGAAACCTGGGCTCTAAAAACGACCTTGGCCGAGTCTGCAAACAGTTTCCCATCGAAGTGAGAATCCTAGAACTGCTCTCATAGGATTATTTAATAAATATAGCTGACCCCTGGCACTAATTCAACCTCTCTCATTTTGCAAGTTAGGAAAATAATGCTCGGCGGTTTGAGGCCGCTCACTTACGGATACACTTGTAATTCAGTACGAGGGTTACTTGCTGGGTCTCTCACCCACTTCACTAAGTTTCTTCAAACTAAGGATTGATACAAGTTTAAGATCCTGTAAAGCCAAACAACAGTGGTGTGGAGAAGGACAGCAGGAAATGTGTTTGAGTGTTAGCCCCACACGTTCTTAACCCGAGTACCTGTTTAATACACATTCGGGGCCGCCAACCCGGAGCTACTGAATCACAGTCCCCGGGGGTGGCTCCGGGAACGTGCATACTTTCATAAAACGGCACAAGTGACTTCCCTGTGATACCATCCACGACAATACCAGACAAGAACTCCGAGGCCCACAGAGGCCACGAGCCTCCCCCGCGCTCAGGGCGAGCTAGGGATGGCGCAGGCCGCGGACCCCAGAGTTCGCTCCTCGCCGCCCCGCCGGGCCCTCCTGCCACGTCCACGCCCAGCCCGACCGCCGCGGCCTTCGCGCCCGCCTCGCTCCCAGCACTCACAGATGGGGATGGCGGACACGATGAACGCGTTCCCGAAGAAGAGCGCCGACGACTTGGCCGAGAGATTGCGGCTGAAATCCTGCAGAAGCAGGTCCTCCTCGGACTGCTGCTTGGAGCCGCCTTTGGGAGCCATGGCGGAGCAGGAGCCGAGAGCGGGAGAAAAAGACAGGAAGGGAAGCCAGGCATAGGTCTCTGGCCCCGCCCCGCGGTCACCGTATCCGCTAGCGACCCGTCAGCGCTGCGCGCGGAGGCGAGACCCGGCGCGGCGCGTCGCAAGCTTCACCAGGATTGGCCAACGTGACGCCGCTATGTAGGCTTCCCGTCGTGATTGGGCGAGCGGACCAGACTTCCGGATTCCCGGCAAGCCACGTGATTCATCTGCGTCGTGGAGAAGAAAGGGATTTGTAGTTTAGTTGGTGCTTTTTTTCTAATTAACAAAACTTTATTGACATTTCTCTTCACAGCTACTGATAAACTCAAAGTCTTCAGAATTCCAAAATAAAAAGTTCTTCTGACCCCGCGTCAAACATTCATGAATTCAGCGAGCATATGGTTAGTACCCTCTGTGTGTACCCAGCACCAGGGGCACAGGAGGAGGGAAAGGAGAAAGATATAACTAATACATTTAGAATCCCTTCTCTTTTACACATCCATTATTTCATTAAATACCTTCAAGAATCCTATGACTCATTGCAGATGAAGAACCTGAAGGTGGGAGAAGGGCAGTGCTGGTCTCCAGGGCTTGGGGTCTTTTCACCAAAATAACTAAATAACTGGCTACCAGTGTATAAAAAAGAAAACTGCACTCTTACCTTTAAGGAACTCATAGTCTCATTGATGAAGATAATCTATTACATTGACAAATTACTACTATTTTATTACACTTATTTCAACTAAATCTTTAGAGGAGTGTGGCCTCCAAAGCCAGGCTAAATAAATCAATACTGAGTGAAGATAACACGTTGGCTGGGCAGGACTCTTCTGAATCTCAGAAAGATTGGATATGCCTATTAAAACAGCTAGATGTAATTTTTAACTCATCAAATTATCAATTTTCACTAAAAAAGGGTATTAACCAAATCACTCTCAGCAAATGTTTCTTTCCTCTGCATTCCTGAGAACATCCCAGTACATCAGACGAAACTTCCTCAAAACTTCCAGCTTCCCCATCAACAGATTTGTAGATCTCTTTTTTCCTCACCTTACCGAAATTGTAATTGGCCTCCACAGTTTTCAATCCTAATTGAGCTTTCTTCCTTCTATCTTTTAAAATCTATTCCCTACACAGGTATCAGAGTGAGTTTTCCTGAAATATAAATCTTTCTATTTATCTACAGCAAGTATTCCCAAATGCCAGTTTTCACAAATTCACTGCAAAACGAAAAAGAAAAAATAGACCATTTAGCGAGTTTTTCAGAAAACTAAAAGTATTCATTTTAAAATATCTGAGTTTATGCTTTTTTGATGTTAAAATGTTCTTTCTTTTATTACATGGTGGTGATAGAAGAAACTCTTACTTTCTTTTGCAACATACTCTACTCTCTTTATTTCCTACCTTAGTAACTCACATCCTTTTCCACCCATTTGCTCTGGTTAAAATGCTAGGTTTCAGTACTAATTCCTTTTTTTTCCTTCTTCATCTATGACCAATTCATAATCAAAACCTTTTGGATCTGTCTCTATAACTAGATTTCCTTTCAGCTATGTATAAGTCAAGAGCATAAAAAGAAAATAAAACATAAAAACCAGGAAACTATATATAATCAAAAGGGACAAAAATCATCAGGATATTTAAAAGAAAAAATAAGAAAATAAGAAACATAATAATGAGTTTTAAAAGAATTATGCCTGAGAAAAATACTTCAACAATTAAAATAGGAAACGAAAGTTTCAAATGTTAAGTACATGAAAATGTTAAAATTGAAGTGATCAAAAAGAGTAGCTGAGAAAAATTAATAAACGTTGTAAAACTAAAGATAATAAATATAAACAGAAGATAATCTAAAATAGCAGAAATTTAAAAATTTTTTCATAGGGTAAATTAGAGAAATGATAGGCAATGATGCTTATGATAAAGTTTTCGGTGATGGTAATAGTGAAGATCACGAAGGCAGCACACTTGAAGTACTGCAGCAGTGTTTTTCTTACACCCAAACTGTCTATTTCCTTTTGAAGATCGGCAAGATCTAAGGATCATCTATATATGGCATATATAGCCATGGCACATTGGATAAGCAGGGTAAACAATGCTAAAAAAAAAAAAAAAAACAGAGGTGGGCAATAGATTCTATCTAAGCAAAGATCTACGATATATTTTGCTCATTTCAATATATTTAACTCTACAAAGAAACTGGATGGACTCGATTCTATACCAGCCTGGTTCTAATCTTTGGATTTTGGGCTTAACATTTCCATTGTATTAAGTTACACTTATCAGACTGGGGGAAAAAAATTTAAGTAATAATATGTATTGCTGTCAGGGATATGGATAACAGATTTCTCTCATCTGTTGCTGATGGCTTTGTGAAAGAAAATCTGGCAATTTAAAAATTAATATACCTTTCTGTGGCAGTCACTGCAAGTTGCTTAGTCAATAAGGAAGCCACTGTTAGCTTTTCACTGGGACCTTATGAAGAAAATAATCAATTATCCAGGTTGGCTCTGGGGAGAAAAAAAAACAACTCCTCTGTTTTTAAAGCCAATTTGAAATGCAAATATAATCTTGGAAATAATTTTGAAAGAAGAGATAGAACACTTATATCAGTCTCTAGTTTGATGTTTTAAGGTATCACCTTTGAGATGATTTATTCAGCCAAACTGCATAGTTCAGGCACTGATGTATGATTAATTTATTAGTTCACACGTTTATTCAGAAAATATTTATTGAGAAGCTACTTACTACCTGAAAGGTACTGTGCTAGACCCTTGGGGGTATCCAGATAATAATCATGATTATCATGATTACAATAACCAACATTTATTGAGTCCCTGTATGTCCAACTCTGTGGTAGACCCTTTACATGTATCATGTCATTAAGTACAGCAACCCTGAGAGGTATGTGTTATTATTATCCCCATTTGTCAGATGAAGAAACCAAGTCTCAGATTAGTGAAGTAACTCACTTTGGACCCACAATAAGTGGTGGAGTCAAGCAATAAAACTCCAGGATGTATATTCTTAACCACAAATGAATTGTGTTCCCCTCTGTACCAGTGGAGTCTCTGATTCTAAGTGTCTGCCCCTGAAAGCCTTATTTTGAGCAAGCAGCCAAGGGCAGTGTCTTATGCACCAGCTTCCATGCAGAGTCACATCTCACTGCAACTCTGGCCAGTTCATCCTTGGACTGACAGGATCCTGCACCTAACCCATAGGCAAGCTCAGTGAGCAGGCCTGAGCTCTCCATACTGCATTTTCTGTCTCAGGGAGTTTGAACATAAAACCCTCGAAAGAGACAGTTAATAGAGGTGTACAGAAATCAAGAAGCAAACTGAGAAGGGGTGGAAAGCACAAACCATAACTCCCCAGCAGCCATAAATTAGAAAATGAGAAATTAGAGAGATGCTCTAAGGGCCTCAGGGCTTCTTCATTTCTCTCTTTAGGCCTGAAGGAGACCCCCATTACCTGCAATAAAGCAAAACATTCATCTTAAAAATGAAAACAAAACAGATTTGAAATAAATAGCATAAACAGCTTCTACATACAAATGAACAGATAGATGAATAACTGTGCTCAACATAACTTATCAATTTATATATTGCCTCTCTCAAAACGTTTAAGGCAAAGGTAACAAGATCAAATGATCACAAGGTCCAGGCAAGTAGCCTCAGTGAGTGAATTGTGCCAGGTATAGGACATGAGATGGTGGTGGGGTAAATATAACCAAAAACCTCACCTTTCTAAAAGGCACTCAACTTGAGCTAGATTAGATATACAGAGAGAAAAAACAGCAACTATTGTGTAGGGCAAACACAACGTGGTTGGGGTTTAATCTGCCCCATAAACTCCCAGGTTTAAGGAGATTTAAATGCATATAATTTAGGGAAAAAAATTTTAAGGTCTAATGGAAAAAGCCTTACCATTTCTTTTGCAGAGAATGCTGGAGAATGTTGGCCCTTAGTCTTGGTCAGGCCCACTCTCCAACCTACCCACCACCCCCCACACATACCCCCCCACTGACAGGAGATATTTGCCAGCTGGGTTATTTTTTATAAAGATAAGAACATGAGAATTCTAAATGTGCACTTTGCTGTGGAATTGATTTTTAAACCAAATGAGGCATTAAAACATTTGGGGCACAAGCATTTGTCTTTGAGCCTGAAGCTTATACTTCCCAAGATAAATATTGTTTTTCTTTTTAGAAAATACTGATGTGACCCTTGTAAATTGGGGACTGCTTCTAAAGCAGTCAGAAAAGCCTGTTTCCTTTGTGCCTAAGGATATTCATAAAGTCACTTACTTCTTTAAGAAAATGATACATATCTACAGAAAATATATTATCTTAATAACCACTGATAGAGGCCATAATACTTTAAATCTCAAAACTCCCCCTGGAATCTTCTAAATGTGAGAGTTATCACACATGCATCATTCATACAGCACTGCGGGGCACAATAAAAATTAAGATTTGCACTGGAAATCAATTTTCTTTTGTTACACATTTAACCCAAGCACTATGGCAACAGAATCTAAGATAAAGTAGGTCAGGAATTTCAACTGTAATGCCTTAGGTGATACAAAAGCCAGTCGTAATTTGTTGCTCATATTTTAGGACTCTTTATTTTAAAATTCTTCTATTTCACACACCCCAGTCAATGTTATCAAACAACAGCCTATTAAGTAAAAATCTTAAGAACAAAATTTTGGGGGAGATTTATTTAATCTCATTATTTCATTTGGTTCACTAACTAGTAGTGTCCATCTCCATAATCACAAATAAATGAGGAAGGAAATTCCAGGTAAAAGGGACAGTGTATACAAGTTCACAGTCAAGAATGGGCTCAGTATATGGTTTGCAAATCATTCTATGAAGCATTTGGGGATGATCAAAACCAGGCACAATAAGGAGATAAAAAGAGGAGATGTGCTTCTGTCACTGGAGGATCAATGGAATCATCAGTCATCTTATAGGAATCTCGGTGGACAACCATGCCTGCTGCCTAGACTATTTTTATACAGGAAATAAGCCAAAATTAAGT